TATCAATGTCATTGTACAATAAGGAAATTAGAGAAGTGATAATTACAAAAATAGGAACTATCCAAATCCTAATCTTTATCAAACAATATCCAATTTGTTTTTCAAGAATCTTCTAGACTAAAACGAAATAATGAAACCAAGAAATAAATTTGGAAGAAGAAATAAGAAAAAAATGCCAAGAAGCAATCTTATATTCGCCAGAAATTAAAGCAGCCGAATTGTACAGTCAAATCACAAGACTTATCTTAGTAATAGATTCCGAATTTCTCCATTTTTGGTCTAATACTCCCTCAACTGAAGTTGTACTGAAGCTTCAAACTTGCAACAATGCGAAATAGGGAGTTTAGGGCAAAATAAATCCAATTCGATTTACGAAATCTGGGAAATGAAGAATGATTTTTGTTGTTTGACGGTGGAGAGAGAGAGAGTTTTGTGAGATGCAGTTTTAGGGTTTGTAGAAAAAAGGGGAAGAAGATGTAGCAGATCCCGTTTTGGAGATGCCGATGTCTGATTTTTTTTTTTTTTTTTTTTGTGGTAACCTAATGGCAATGTCCATATAATTATTTTTGAAACGGTTTAAAAAAAAAACAGGGGACTGCAAAGGATCGAACTCAATACCTGTTGAGTTTAGGACAATTGTGATAACCGCTACACCATAGCATCTTTTTGGCTGAATAGGAAATTTATTTCTATAATTACTTAAAACATGTGTAAATTTTCCACTAAAAAAGAAACTAATACTAATAATATATGTAAATTTAGATAATAGGAAACTTATAATTCAGTTCTCGAAAATTGTAAAATCAGAGAAATTATCTTTACTGAAAATTAATTAATAAATAATATGTAAAATAGAAAATTTACATAAATTAATTTAAAAGCAAAAAAAATAAAAATAATGACATGGACCAATCAAATTCAACCTTTTAAATCCTAGGTGGACAGCCTCTAATGCATATAGGCTCAACTTTTATTAGTAATAGATTTTAAAACTACATCAAACATATTTACCAAAAAAAAAAAAAACAATTTTGGACGAATGGACATCCAAAGAGAATATGGATTTATACTAAACTCATATTATAACAAAGATGTGAAAGTATTTATGAATATAATTAATACATTAATTAAGGTTTTGATTGACATGATTGCTAATTATTAATTATATGTTTTAGCTAATTTTATTTATTAAAGTATTTGATCGATAATACATGATCACTATTTAACAACCGATTAAGTATTTTTGTCTCAAAATCATCTTAGCAACAATTTTCTTCTAATAAAGCCAAATATATTATTTATTTATGCTTTATTTTATATATAATCAATTTATGCCTAAAATCTCTAAAAAACCATGATCAATATATGCTTAAAGGAGTGATATTTTTCATTGTAAGAATGTAGTGTAAAGAGAGAGAGACATCATCGCCCACCACCCAAAAACACATGAAACTCATTCGTATAGATTGGCTCTACGTAATTCGATTGTACTCTTAATTGAAAAAGGGGCCTCCCTCTTTAATACAAAATTAAACAATTCGAGCTACTTCCTTCTCCTTGCAGGCACACCATACCACGATATACTTCAACCGTTTATTTTTGGTCCCACTTAGAAATTATAAGTAAATGTCATGACACCATGAATTGTACGATCGTTATAGAGCCAATGAGGCATGGGCCTCTAGCCCCGGTTTGTCTTTATAGAGTTAATATATACCAATACTGAAGATAAATTGTTTTTTAATCTATTGGTTGTCAAATCATTCATCGTCAAATATTCCCCGATTTTTTGTCGGCCTCGGACTTAGCCAACTTGGATTCAGGAGTATTGCCAATTTACCCGCGTATCTTTGAGTCTATTACATATGCGGTTCTGGACTTGCCACTCTTCTTTATGCAGATCGAGTATTACTAACTTACTGGCATATCTTTGAACTCGCCACTCTTCTTTATGCAGATCGACTTTAAATATTTAACAGCCTTGACGGTGGCACGAGCTATTTGTCTTGTACACTAGCTTTTAAGAGTAAAAGAACTTGAGATTGTTTTCAAAACGATATCTTTTTGAAGAAGCTTCCAGTTTTTGTCTTAGATCTAAATTGTATAACATATCTTTTAACAGTTTTGTATTTCATTTCTACACCAAGTTCTTTCTGCTTTTTGGCAAAGAGGTTTCAACGTTTTACTTATATACTCTTTTATTCTAATGAGAAGTTGTTCGGGAAAAAAAATCTATTGGTTGTCATAGGCTACACAAATCTCAAAGCGGGCTCGCGAATCAACTAATTTTAAATTTATTGGAGAATCGGAGCCTTAGTCCGATGGCAATACGTGCACAAAAAGCAGTAGATACTAGATAAGTCCTGATTAGTCACTCATAACCTTCAGTTTCTGTAGACTATGGCTTAAACATATTTTAGGCAAAGAATCAAAAGGTTAAAGCTGTGCCTAATTTTCATAAACGAAGTTTATAGATCATTGTTAATTTAATCGACTTAAACTCATCCTATCCCATTAGATTCCAAAAAACATTTGTTTATAGACATTTTGAGGTTTTACCTCGAAGCTCTCACTTGGGCCATATGCAATGTTCGATCAAACATTCCACCGCTCAAGTCTTTGGGACGGACTGCTAAGATGTGATCAAGATGACAGAAAGACCAGAGGAATAGCCAAACTTTGCAATAAACTCCACGAATTTAGACGGCAACAGAATCAGCTCCCATTCTTCTCTCTTTACACATTCCACGTGTTTTCACTTCTAATTCGACCACTTGGCCAGGCTCATTAAATCTTGTACTAGGCCTTTATCTTTTGTTGGTTGTTCCATTCTTGTGTGGTTATCCACAACACCTCAAATTTGAGTAATTGATGCCCAAAAAATGTTATATCATACAAATTACACTGATAAAATATTATACTATGTACTGTATTTGGAATAATCTTATTTTATTTTCATATATAAAAGTTTAATCAATATGTTGGAAAAAACAAAAATCAATATAATAATATTATACTATGTACTGTATTTGGAATAATCTTATTTTATTTTCATATATGGAAGTTTATTCTAGATTAGGTCCCGCGTATACGCGGGTTTATTTTAATTTCCTTTTATAAAAATCATGAAGAATATTAAACAAAATTTGATCACTTTTAAAAATAAGTAAAATAATATTAAAAACCCGATAATAAATCTCTAAATAAACTAAGATATGTAATATTTTTACATTTTAATTTTGAATTCATGATATGAAATAGAAAAGCTTACATGTGTCTAAATCTAATGGACTCGTTAATTTATGAAACTTTGATTATTCCATTGCTGAAACTTTATTCTAAATATTGATGAATTTTTTTAATATTGTTTTATCTAACAAAAAATGGAAAATTTAACTATTTAATATTAGAAGATTGGTCCATTATAAAACTTTCTTTTTAATATTATTTAGTTCCTTGATAATTATTTTGTTAGTTTTCTATTTATATTGTTTCTTTTTCAATTTTGTGTTTGCCTCTTACCATTATAAATTTTCATTTTCATTATTAATTAGTTGTTTTACAATTATTTTGTTAGTTTATTTATTTATGTTACTACATTTTTCCAATTTTATTGTGTTGACATATGTCATCACCAGATCAAATATTAGACACATGTAGCGATCTAAAGTTAATTATTCTTCATTGATATCTTGAACTTTTAAAACATGATTTTTTATTTCTTAATGAGAAAGAAACTTAAAAAAATATAGCTTGTTATATTTTCCTTTTCGTATTTGGAATATGTTTTTTTATTCCTTATCTTATTGGATGTAACAATTTTTTAATTATTTCTTCATAATTTTCTGATTTTTCGTTTTTTTTTCCTTTTCGTAATAGGATTATGTTTCTTCTTTACTTTTCCTAATGGATGTAATATTTTTTCTTTTTAATTGTTTATTTCTTTTTTTTCTGATTTTTCCTAATGTATAAATAGGATTTTATTTATTACATTATTTTGAATTTTAATATGTGTTTGGACAATATAAATTTGATGAATGAGAAAACTTTTTCTATTATGATATGAAAAATATGATTTTTCTTCTTTTTACTCTAATAGATATTTTTTAATTTTCCTTTTTCTAACATTTTTTAATTATTTGTTTTTTTTTCCAAGACACGTGTCATGATCTTAACGGACGTAACATTAAAAAGTGACATATGTCGCGATCCTGTAAATTATAAAAATCCTACATGTCGCAACCATCTAGCTTTATATAATAAGATATGTGTTTGGATAATATAAATTTGATGAATGGGAAAACCTTTTTCTGTTAGGATATGACAAATATTAATTTTTTTTTTTAATATAATAGATTAAATTTCGTTTTTTTTAATTATCTTTTTCTAGTATTTTTAAAAATATTTTTTCCCCTAATACATGTGTCACGATCTTAACGGACATAATCTTAAAAGTGACACATGTCATAATCCTATATTTTATAAAAATCATATGTGTTGCAACCACGTCGAGCGCATCCAACTTTATATAATAAGATGTTGGAAAAAACAAAAATCGATATAATATTTATAGGAAATATACTAACTAGACATAAACCGTGCGTACCTCAGTATTATGTGTAAACATTGAATTGACTTTCAAAGTTTCAAATACAATTTGATTTTGGTAACTTTGAGAGAAGCCAAGTTTGATTTTGTGTCTTGCGGATCAAGTATCTTATTTTCAATTATTAATAAATGTCTTTGTCCGTCAAAGAAAGGAACTAGAAGACCCCTACTGGGTCACAAAAAAACGACAAGAAGGAAGTATTATTCTTTTCGAAATGTCATATTGTTATTGTCTCTCGGCCTTTTATGTGTGTTTAGTCATCTATTGTACCATTTTAGAGAAGCCTTTTTTTTGTCTCTCCAATCTTATCCATGTTATATAACCTTTACGATCACACACACAATCCACCAAAAAAAAAATCTTGAGAGGTCCTGACTGAGTTGGAACCAGTATGGCTTCCCAGAAAACCCACCAGTCTCATCCTTCTCTTCACTTTGTTCTCTTCCCTTTCATGGCTCAGGGCCACATGATTCCCATGGTTGATATCGCAAGGCTATTGGCTCAGCGTGGTGTGACCATAACAATTGTCACAACGCCTCACAACGCAGGGAGGTTCAAGAATGTCTTAAACCGTGCCATCGAGTCTGGTTTGGCCATCAACCTCGTGCATGTGAAGTTGCCATATCAAGAAGTTGGGTTGCCAAAAGGAAAAGAGAATATTGATTCTCTTGACTCAATGGAGTTGATGGTACCTTTCTTTAAAGCGGTCAACATGCTCGAAGAACCAGTCTTGAAGCTCATGGAAGAGATGAAACCTCGGCCAAGCTGTCTAATTTCTGATTTGTGTTTGCCTTATACTAGCAAAATCGCCAAAAGGTTCAATATACCAAAAATCATTTTTCATGGAACGGGTTGCTTTTATCTTTTGTGTATGCATATTCTGCGCAAAAACCTCGATATCTTGCAGAATTTGAAGACGGACAAAGAGTATTTCGTGGTTCCTGGTATTCTTGATAGAGTTGAATTTACAAAGCCTCAAATTCCCGTGGAAACAAATGCAAGTGGAGATTGGAAAGAGTTCTTGGACGAATTGGTAGAAGCAGAAAACACATCTTATGGTGTAATCGCCAACACATTTCAGGAGTTGGAGCCTGCTTATGTCAAAGAGTACAAAGAGGCAAGGCTTGGGAAAGTGTGGTCTATAGGACCCGTTTCCTTGTGCAACAAGGTAGGAACAGACAAAGCTGAGAGGGGAAGCAAGGCGGCCATTGATCAAGATGAGTGTATTAGATGGCTTGATCATAAAGAAGAAGGGTCGGTGCTATATGTTTGCTTTGGAAGTATCTGCAATCTTCCTCTGTCTCAGCTCAAGGAGCTTGGGCTAGGCCTTGAAAAATCTCAAAGACCTTTTATTTGGGTCATAAGAGGTTGGGAAACGTATGATGAGCTCTCAAAGTGGATCTTGGAGAGCGGTTTTGAAGAAAGGGTCCAAGAGAGAGGGCTTCTCATAAGAGGATGGTCGCCTCAAGTACTTATCCTTTCACATCCCTCTGTTGGAGGATTCTTAACACATTGTGGATGGAACTCGACTCTAGAAGGAATCACCTCAACTGTTCCACTTCTCACTTGGCCGTTGTTTGGAGACCAGTTCTGCAACCAGAAATTGGTTGTGCAGTTTTTAAAAGTCGGTGTAAGTGTTGGGGTTGAAGAGGTCATGAAATGGGGAGAAGAGGAGAAGATAGGAGTGTTGGTGGATAGTGAAGGAGTGAAGATGACAGTTGAAGAATTGATGGGTGATACTGATGATGCTAAGAAGAGAAGAACAAAAGCCAAAGAGCTTGGAGAAATAGCTCACAAGGCTGTGGAGGAAGGAGGCTCTTCTCATTCTAACATCACATTCCTCTTAAAAGACATAATGGAACAAGCTCAATCCAAAAATTGATTATGTCATAATTTATTTTTATGATGTATAAATATTGAGTTTTTGAAAAAATACTTTTTTCAACTCTAAAGAAAAGTAAACAAACTTAACTTTAGATGCAGTAAATTAATTTCGTGGGTCTAAACAAGGAAATTGAAATTTAACCGTCTTAAAACAAGACATTCCTACTAAACCGCCGCATCCATGAAGAGATCTTATGTCTACATATAGCTTACCGAAGAAAAGCTTCACGCTCTTACAGTTACATATTACTCAATCTCAGTGTGTGGAGTCACCGAGTGTTGTAAATGAAGAATGGGAGTTCAGTTCACCACTTGAAGAGCTAATTGCCACAAGTGAAAGAAAAAAACCTATTATAAGTTTCTCTCATCTTATACATTCGATCAGATATAACCAATGTGTAGAACAAGAAATCAAGTTTCTTGCAAACTAGTCTATCTTGCATATTTGACATTTACAGATTCTCATAAAAACATTTAGATCACTTATGTTTACTGATCACGAGTGTTAAGGAACTAAAGAGGATGGGGAGATCCTAGACTAAGTAGCGTTGGGAAATTGATTTTCAAGAACAACAAAAGAAATTGTCATTTCTACTTGTGGATAAAGTTTGTCTTGAAAAGTATTCAAGAACAACAAAAGAAACAAAAGAAATTGTCATTCATATACTTGTCAAGTGGTCATGCATGAACTCTACATTTTTGCTTAAGTTACATTGCCCACTTTAAATATTAAAAGTGTACTTCCTCCTTGCTCTTGCAGAACTGCTCTAACATATCTGCTTCAATCTTCTGCCGCTTTCTCTTAATTCCCCAAAGCTTCATCTTTCCATTTTTTTTTACTTTTTTCTTTTGCAGCCTTAGATGTTATTATGTTAGTCCAAAATTGTTAGCTGCAGAAATATAAAGCTGTCAACTTAGGACTTAGGAGTCTTTTGTCTGTCACTACGTCTGTTCGAAGTTTGTATGAATTTACTCAAGCTGTAGTGAGATGCTGTCTCGAGTTTCTTTATCCAATTGTTGTAGATTTAATTAACTCCTCTTTTGATGATTATGATATACTAAGTGCGAACTTTTTAGTGCTGACGTATTTGTATTTCGAATCAGATCGGCCTAATTTGCTCCAGAGTCTAGACAATATATATATATATATATATATATATATATATTTTATTTTTTCGTTGTCCAAAGTCGAAGTTCCTAAACCATTCCGGAAATGTAGATTGGTGGAACAATAAGCTTATCCCCTCCCTCGTATTCTTGGAAGTCTAGACAATAAGCTTAACTACGTATATTCACATATCCTTCCTTTTCCGGAAATTTACAGAAATATAGAGACTAAAGAAGGAAGATAATCCTCCTGAACGAAAAAAAGAAGAAGATAATACACAGATAGTTATTACTACAAGTTCACAATATATCACAATCATCAAAAGAGGAATGAAGTTTACAAAGAAGCAAATCAGAATATTGATAAACAATTAAGAAATACATGTACATAAGTTGACAAAAAAAAAGTAATGACAGTACAATCATAGTAGACAAAAAGAAGTTACTTAGTTTATCAAGAATAGTTACATTTTAAATATGGTATTTTGTATAATGATTAAACTATTCAATGAAAAAGTCCGGTGTGTATTGGGAAACAAATTTGAAAAGATCTCTTACAAAACCATCGAACATTTCTATATCAAAATCTCGATTCACGTCATCTATGATGTCACTTTGGTTAAATTTGTTTCCTTTTAAATAGTATATAATTGTTCTTTTTTACGATTATTTTGCATCTATATATATATACTCACTCTGTCAGTCACACACACTCAGAAACTAAACAAAAACAAACACTTGAGCGGCCATGGCTTCTGAAGCTACCCACCACTCAGATTCTCCACTTCACTTTGTTCTCTTTCCCTTCATGGCTCAAGGCCATATGATTCCCATGGTTGATATTGCAAGGCTTTTGGCTCATCGGGGTGTGACCATAACAATCATCACAACGCCTCACAACGCAGACAGGTTCAAGAACGTCATAAACCGTGCCGTCGAGTCTGGCTTGCCCATCAACCTCGTGCATGTCAAGTTTCCACATCAAGAAGCTGGTTTGCCAGAAGGACAAGAGAATGTAGATTTGCTTGAATCGATGGGGTCGATGGCAGCTTTCCTCAAAGCGGTTAACACACTCGAAGAACCGGTCCAGAAGCTAATGGAAGAGATGATACCTCGACCAAGCTGTCTAATTTCTGATATGTGTTTGTTTTATACAAGCAAAATTGCTGAGAATTTCAACATACCGAAGATCCTTTTCCATGGTATGTCTTGCTTTTGTCTTCTGTGTATGCATGTTCTACGCAAGAACCGTGAGATCTTGGAGAATTTAAAGTCAGACAAAGAGTATTTCCTCGTCCCTTCTTTTCCTGGCAGCGTTGAATTTACGAAACTTCAAGTTCCTGTCGAAACATATGCTGATGGAGATTGGAAAGAATTTATGGACGACTTGGTAGAGGCCGATAACGCATCCTATGGTGTGATTATCAACACATTTCAGGAGCTAGAACCCGCTTATGTCAAAGACTTCAAGGAGGCTAGGGCTGGTAAGGTATGGTCCATTGGACCTGTTTCCTTGTGCAACAAGGTAGGAGCAGATAAAGCTGAGAGGGGAAATAAGGCAGACATAAACCAAGACGAATGTCTTAAATGGGTTGATTCTAGAGAAGAGGAGTCGGTCTTATATGTTTGTCTTGGAAGCATTTGCAATCTTCCCCTGTCTCAGCTCAAGGAGCTTGGGCTAGGCCTTGAGGAATCCCAAAGACATTTCATTTGGGTCGTACGAAGTTGGGAGAAGTATAAAGAGTTAGCAGAGTGGATCTCGGAGAGCGGTTTCGAAGAAAGAATAAAAGACAGAGGACTTCTTATCAAAGGATGGTCTCCGCAAATGGTTATCCTTTCACATCCTTCCATTGGAGGGTTCTTAACGCACTGCGGATGGAACTCAACTCTAGAGGGGATAACCGCTGGTGTACCGCTGCTTACATGGCCGCTCTTTGCAGACCAATTCTGTAACGAGAAATTGGTCGTCCAGGTACTAAAAGCCGGTGTGAAAGTCGGGGTTGAGCAGCCTATGAAATGGGGAGAAGAGGAGAAGATAGGAGTGTTGGTTGATAAAGAAGGAGTGAAGATGGCAGTGGAAGAACTGATGGGTGAGAGTGATGATGCAAAAGAGAGAAGAAAGAGAGCCAAGGAGCTTGGAGTATTAGCTCACAAGGCTGTGGAAGAAGGAGGCTCTTCTCATTCTAACATCACAGTTTTCTTAAATGACATAATGCAACAAGTGAATTTTAAGAATTGATTACGTTATTGTTTAATGTTATTGTGTGGTACTTTATTCACATTATCTCTGTCTTTTTTTTTCTTTTTTTTTTAGATCAAGAGTTTAAGCTCCAAATTTGTTGACGAATTGGAAAACATTATTATTATGCATATTCATAGAAGGCAAAAAAACAAAAATCCATCAGCAGAAACTCTATCTACTATACTAATTAACTCCTCTTGCTATCTCATAGTCCAATTAGTTATTAACTGATGCATGCAAGGAGAAATAATTCTGATGAAATTTCATCTCAAACCTATATAAAAAGGGTTCATATATTATATATAATATAACAGAAAATAAATATCTAATTATGCACAGGAAGTAGAAGACATATATAATTTCAAAACAAATTTGTTTCTACTTTCTAACAAATCCAACAATTTGAAAGGAAGCGGTCCTATGCACTTATATTTATTTCTTTGTTACATTCATTTCACTTATACTAGACTAATGCCCGCGCGTACGCGCGGGCATTTCTATTGTTATAATCATTTTAAAATATTGGAAACCAACTATAATTTGTGATTAATATTATAAAATTTTACCTAAAGAGTACTGGTATTCTAATTATAACTTGTATAATTAGTGAGTACTTTCAAATATATATTTTTTTGCATTATATTTTTCAGTTCTATGCCACCAATTTTCTTTGTTTACTCACCGCTACATGGAACAGACTCTGTTTCTCTGCTATCGTTCTTCGTTAGATCTATTCCTCCATATATTAGAAAATTTTAGATATTTAATAGTGATTAAAACGGAAAGTGGGAGGATAATAGTTTTAAAGTAACAGAGTGGTTTTAAATACAACAATTGAAATGTTTAAAGTTGTTAACTGATTGAAAGGAAAATGAAAAGTTATTAATTTAAATTTAAATTAATTAATTAAAAGGAAAATGAAAAGTCATAACACATGTCAATTGTTAGTGTGTCCACATATCCAAATTATGGAGAGAGTTAGATGATTTATGCTATTATCGAAAGAGGAAAAACTTGGATTTATTTTGAAGATTGTATACTATGTTTTGGTCGTTTTGTTGATGCTTAAGGTTACACTGGTTGTCACTTGTCATTGAGAGCAATAGAGAGTCAAATTTAATTCTTCTTTGTTCGTTTATCCAAATTTGTTTTTTCGCGGCTGTATCATTTCGACGTAGTTCTCATATATATATAACTATTTTTCGTTTAATAATCTCTCAAAATTTATATTTTGGCTTATATGAATACAGAAGGACACATGAGTGCCCGCCACAACACGTACTGTACTAGTCTGTGTTAATGAAGAAGCCAATTTCCTTATGTTCTCCCTTGCATCACTTTTATTATCACCTTGAGTTTCAAAATATTTTTGTCTTCTTATCAATTGACATGAGCAATAAACATAATATATGCGCGTTTATGTATGCACACACAAATAGATAACACGCAATCCGAATCAAAGCAAAAGATAACTTAGCGTTACTCATGGCTTCGGAAACAACCCAACAATCTTATCCTTCTCTTCACTTTGTTCTCTTCCCTTTCATGGCTCAAGGCCACATGATCCCTATGGTCGATATTGCAAGGCTCCTGGCTCAACGCGGCGTGACTATAACCATTGTCACGACGCCTCACAATGCAAACCGGTTCAAGAACGTTCTTAACCGAGCCATCCAGTCCGGCTTACCCATCAATCTTGTGCAATTGAAGTTTCCATCTCAAGAATCAGATTCACTATTAGGACATGAGAATTTAGACTTGCTCGATTCATTGGGGGCGAGGATATCCTTCTTCAAAGCAACTAGTATGTTTGAGGAACCGGTGGAGAAGCTCTTGAAAGAGATTGAGCCTAGGCCAAGCTGCATAATCGCCGACATGTGTTTGCCTTACACGAACAAAATCGCCAAGAACTTTGGTATACCAAAGATCATCTTTCATGGCATGTGTTGCTTCAGTCTTCTTTGTACGCACATCATGCGCCAAAACTATGAGTTTTTGGAAACTATAAAATCTGACAGCGAGTACTTCTCCATTCCAAACTTTCCTGACAGAGCTGAGTTCACAAAATCTCAGCTTCCTTTGGTCGTAGTTAATGTTGGAGATAGGAAAGAACTGCTTGACAGAATGACAGAAGGGGACAACACTTCTTATGGTGTGATAGTCAACACGTTTGAAGAGCTCGAACCAGCTTATGTTAGAGACTACAAGAAAGTTAAGGCAGGTAAGGTATGGTCCATTGGACCCGTTTCCTTGTGCAATAAGGTAGGAGAAGATAAAGCTGAGAGGGGAAACAAATCAGACATTGATCAAAGCGAGTGCCTTAATTGGCTTGATTCTAAAGAAGAAGGGTCGGTGCTATATGTTTGCCTAGGAAGTATATGCAATCTTCCTCTGTCTCAGCTCAAAGAGCTTGGACTAGGTCTCGAGGAATCCCAAAGACCTTTCGTTTGGGTCATAAGAGGTTGGCAAAAGTATAGCGAGTTATGTAAGTGGATCTCAGAGAGCGGTTTTAAAGAAAGAATCAAAGAAAGAGGCCTTCTCATAAGAGGATGGTCCCCTCAAATGCTTATCCTTTCACATCCTTCCGTTGGGGGGTTCTTAACGCACTGTGGATGGAACTCAACTCTTGAAGGAATCACCTCGGCCGTTCCATTGCTCACATGGCCGCTATTCGCAGATCAATTCTGTAATGAAAAATTGGCAGTGAATGTACTAAAAGTTGGAGTGAGAGTTGGAGTTGAAGATCCCATGAGGTTGGGAGAAGAGGAGAAAATAGGAATATTGGTGGATAAAGAAGGAGTGAAAAAGGCAGTTGAAGAATTGATGGGTGATAGTAACGAAGCTAGGGAGAGAAGAGAAAGAGTCAAAGAGCTTGGAGAATTAGCTCACAAGGCTGTGGAGGAAGGAGGCTCTTCTCATTCTAACATCACATTGCTCTTACAAGACATAATGCAACTAGCACAAATTAAGAATTGATTGTATCGTTGCTCTTGATTGGATCATTGTTCATGTAATATCTTCTTTAAGGTATCGAGTTCGTATTACTTTTACTTTGGTAAAAGAGTTCGTATTACTTTTTCTGCCAAAATTATGAACCCAGTTACCCAGTTTTAACTAATAGAGTTGAAACAAGCGAATCTGTAATGATGGGACAACAGACCACTTTTGGACGATCTAATTCCAAATACATAACGTCAGCACTAACAAGTAATAAGGAATTACAAAAACAATCCAGAAATACAAATAGCAAATAAGAAACGATAAGACGAAAGCCCTTAAAAAAAGAAAAAAAAACGATATGACGATTATATTTAGCAAAAAGAAAAAAAAAAACGATAACACGATTATAGTAGACAAGAATTAGTTGAGAAAATAGGACAAGTTGAGGTCGGAGTGAGGTTGATGACAACAGCTTAATGTTACGACAAGTTGATTAGTTTATCAAGAATACTTTCTCATCCTCATCCTTTCATCCATAATTTTTTGGTCTTTCTGTTTGTTGTAGTTTATAATATGCAGTATTGTCTATAGAGAGACAGAGTCAAGTTTGATTTATCTCTTTTTTCTTTAATCCAAATTTTTTTGTGTGGCTGTTACCATCTCCACGATCCTTTCGACTGTTTCTCTAATTCTTTTTGGCTTATAGTTAAATAAATACAAAAGGAGACACGAGTCCCCGCCACCAAATGTACTATAGTAATCTTTGTGAACCATATTGCTTTCTGTAACGAATACGCCAATCTGCTTATGTTCTCTAGCTCTTACATACATCACTTTTTTAATTTTTATTATTTGGTTCACTTCCAATTTTTTTCTCCATGAGTCAATAAACATCTCTAATATATTAAAAGAGAAAACACTATAAAATAAACCTTTGTGTCATGTGGTATTAACAAAAATGCCATGCTGAGGTGTCATCATTAGGTTCATTCTCAAGGTAAGTTTTAATTAACCCAAAGATTACTAGACTAATTACAATGTAGTGCCATTCATATTATTTTGGTTAGAGACATTATAAATTTAATTTGACTAACCATTTAATGAAATATTAATAAAATAAAATATTATTCTCTTTCCTTAATTGGTACATACAGAAAATTAATAAATAAGGAAGATATGATATGATATTCAATTTAATTGTATCATAATAATAATTTCTTTAAAAATCATTACATATCTCCTATCATCTTTGTTTAACTGTATTTATAAAACAATTTGAATCACAATATTAAAAATATAACAAAGAAAATCGAATTTTTTTTATGTATATGCTATGATTTAAATTTTTAAAAACAACCATAATCACTTAAACTGGTAGAAATTTCCATATTGGATATGTTGTTGTATAAATGTGTAGATATATATTATTAAAAAAAATGATGTGCAGTGTTATGAGTAGGAAACCTCATTTAGTAGGTATTTAAATGTAATTTTTATTTAATTTAATATAGTTTTTAGTTAAATCGTATAATTAAATCGAATAAAATAATTATTTTTATATATTTTTTATTTGATCAAAAATTTGAATATTACTCCATTTATTTTAACTTTCAATATAAAATTAATTATATTTTTGTTGATTTGATAATTTGGATTATGCATATTGTTTTCTTATTGGTTGGATTGTTTTGGAATTATAATAAAATATGTTTTAATTTTAAAAGAAGAAAAACATTAGTTATAATCTGTGCACATATCTAAACTTCTTATCATATAAAATACATGAGGTATAATTTTTTTTAAACAATAACATTTTATTTTCAGATTTTTTTTGGTTTTTAAATTTTATTATATTGTAAATTGAGTTTTATGTATCTCACTTAAATATATTAATTTAATATATGGCAATACGGTCAAAGCTTTAATTTGTTTACCTTTTTCAAAAAAATGGTTTAAAATGTTTAATTTTCACATTATAAACAAATACAATAACTAAACCATAAATTATCGCATAAAATTTTAAGATAGTTAAATAGACATTTTTAATAAAAATACAACTTTAGAAATCATCACCCCGTGCAGGGCGCGGGTCAAACCCTAGTACTTATATGTAAACACAGACAAGTACAAACAATCTAAGTGAAAGAAAAAGAAAAAAAAAAGTAAAAACTTAAGAGAGTTTCTCATGGCTTCAGAAACAACTCAACAACTTCATCCTCCTCTTCACTTTGTTTTATTCCCTTTCATGGCTCAAGGTCACATGATCCCCATGGTCGATATTGCAAGGTTATTGGCTCGGCATGGCGGGATTATAACCATTATCACGACGCCTCACAATGCTGCCCGGTTCAAGAACGTTCTTGACCGGGCCATCCAGTCAGGCTTGCCCATCAATCTTGTGGAGGTGAAGTTTCCATCTCAAGAACCAGGTACATCACAAGGACATGAGAATTTAGACTTGCTCGATTCATTGGCGGCGTCAATATCTTTTTTCAAAGCAACTACCATGCTCGAGGAACCAGTCGAGAAGCTTTTGAAAGAGATTGAACCTAGGCCAAGCTGCATAATCGCCGACCATTGTTTGCCTTATACAAACAGAATTGCCAAGAACTTTGGTATACCAAAGATCAACTTTCATGGCATGTGTTGCTTCAATCTTCTTTGTATGCACATTTTGCGCCAAAACTACGAGTTCCTGGAAACTGTAGAATCTAACAGTGAGTACTTCCCCATTCCAAATTTTCCTGACAAAGTTGAGTTCGCAAAATCTCAGCTTCCTTTGGTCGTAATTGCTGCTGGAGATAGAAAAGAGTTGCTTGACGGAATGGCAGAAGGGGACAAAACTTCTTATGGTGTGATAGTCAACACATATGAAGAGCTTGAACCAGCTTATGTTAGAGACTATAAGAAGGTTAAGGCAGGTAAGGTATGGTGCATGGGGCCGGTTTCCTTGTGCAACAAGGCAGGAGTAGACAAAGCTGAGAGGGGAAACAAGGCAGCCATTGATCAAGATGAGTGTATTAAATGGCTTGATTCTAATGAAGAAGGGTCGGTGCTGTATGTTTGCCTTGGAAGTATATGCAATATTCCTCTGTCCCAGCTCAAAGAGCTTGGACTAGGTCTGGAGGAATCCCAAAGACCTTTCGTTTGGGTCATAAGAGGTTGGGAGAAGTATAAAGAGTTAGATGAGTGGATCTCAAAGAGCGGTTTTAAGGAAAGAATCAAAGCAAGAGGCCTTCTCATAAGAGGATGGTCGCCTCAAATGCTTATCCTTTCACACCCTGCGGTTGGAGGATTCTTGACACACTGCGGATGGAACTCAACTCTTGAAGGAATCACCTCCGGCGTTCCATTAATCACATGGCCTCTGTTCGCAGATCAATTCTGCAACGAGAAATTGGCAGTGCAGGTACTAAAAGTCGGAGTGAGAGCCGGAGTTAAAGAACCTATGATATGGGGAGAAGAGGAGAAAATAGGAGTATTGGTGGAAAAGGAAGCAGTGGAAAAGGCAGTTGAAGAATTGATGGGTGATAGTAATGAAGCTCAGGAGAGAAGAAAAAGAGTTAAAGAGCTTGAAAAATTAGCTCACAATGCTGTGGAAGAAGGAGGCTCTTCTCATTCTAACATCACACTGCTCTTACAAGACATAATGCAACTAGCACAAATCAAGGCTTGATTGTATTGTTGCTCTTGAATGGATCATTGTTCATGTAATATTTTATTTGATTACGACGTTCATATTACTTTTCCTAATAAAACTATGTAAACCAGTTAGAAACTTAAAATAAAGTTAATTAGCCAAATGGTAATGATGTGAGAAACACTTTATGAACGATTTTATTCTTTTATTTTTTTTATTTTTTTTGGGTGCAAATGTAGATTCTTTAAATTTGGGTTCTTCTATTACTTGGTTTGTAAAGTTTTAGTGTAAACCGTAAAATTAAGGAAAAACCAATTAGATGGTGAGAAATAAAATAGTCTAAGATTAGTTATTACTATAACATTTTGTTATTTAGTTCATCTTTCCGAGTTTTTCTTTTAAGTGACCAAGAGTGAATGTTCAAAAAAAAAAGTGTACTAGTTTTTACATGTGGTCCACTCCTGAGGAGTTCAATTTGGATAGTGCTTCTAGCGGGCTCCTTAGAGATAAGAAAGAAGACATATCATCACTTTCTTTTGTTTTTTTTTCTTACGATGTGCCGATTAAAAAGTACATAAAATTTTCATGTAGTATAGTCAAATTCACTTAATTTTTTCATGTAGTATAGTCACATTCACTTTAAAATGTAGTACCTTCTTAGCATATGGCGGATTGGCGCATATATCTTATGTAATAATTTGTTTTCCGGAAGTTTGATATTTCTTTTTATTCTTTATTGCGGTCGTGAACTCTTTTCAATTTTATTTTTGACGTAGTTGTCATCATCATCAAAGATATTTCTCTTATCTGTTCGGGTTTATATGAATACAAAAGAACACATGAGTGCCCGCCACGGAACGAATTGTCTCTCTGTGACTGTACCATATTGTGTTTTGCAAGGAAAAAAAGAAGTTTGCTTACATATTCTCATACGTCACTCTTTATTATTTCCTTGACTTCCAGTTTTCTCTTCTTTTCATATATGAGTCAAGAATAATACATATATGTATATGTATGCTTAGACACACACACACACACACACTCACAATCCGAATCAAAGCCACAAAAGAAAAAAAAGGAACTTAGAGTGGTCCTCATGGCTTCCGAAACTACCCATCAATCTCATCCTCCTCTTCACTTTGTTCTTTTCCCTTTCATGGCTCAAGGCCACATGATCCCAATGGTCGATATTGCAAGGCTCTTGGCTCAGCGCGGTGCGAGGATAACAATTGTCACTACGCCTCACAACTCAGCAAGGTTCAAAAATGTTTTAAGCCGTGCCATCCACTCTGGTCTGTCCATCAACGTAGTGCATGTGAAGTTTCCATATCAGGAAGCTGGTTTGCCAAAAGGACAAGAAAATGTAGATTCGCTTGACTCGATGGAGTTGTTGGTACCTTTCTTTAAAGCGGTTAACATGCTCGAAGATCCGGTCGTGAAGCTCATGGAAGAGATGAAACCTCGACCAAGCTGTCTAATATCTGATTTTTGTTTGCCTTACACAAGCAAAATCGCAAAGAAGTTCAATATCCCAAAGGTTGTTTTCCATGGCGTATCTTGCTTTTGTCTTTTGTGTATGCATATTCTACACCGCAACAACGAGATATTAGAGGCCTTAAAGTCAGACAAAGAAATTTTCTTTGTTCCTAGTTTTCCTGATAGAGTAGAATTTACTAAACCTCAAGTTACCGTGGCAACAAATGCAAGTGGTGAATGGAGAAAGTTCTTGGAGGAACAGGTAGAAGCAGATGACACATCCTATGGCGTAATTGTCAACACATTTCAAGATTTGGAGTCTGCTTATGTGAAAGACTACAAGGAGGCTAGGGCTGGTAAAGTATGGTCGATTGGACCCGTTTCCTTGTGCAACAAGGTAGGAGCAGACAAAGCTGAAAGGGGAAATAAGGCGGCCATTGATGAAGATGAGTGTCTTAAATGGCTTGATTCGAAAGAAAAACGGTCAGTCCTATACGTTTGCCTTGGAAGCATATGCAATCTTCCTCTTGCTCAGCTCAGAGAGCTCGGGTTAGGCCTCGAGGAATCTCAAAGACCTTTCATTTGGGTCATAAGAGGTTGGGAGAAGTATAATGAGTTAGCTGAGTGGATCTTGGAGAGCGGTTTTGAAGAAAGAACCAAATAGAGAGGGATTCTAATCAAAGGATGGTCGCCTCAAATGCTAATCCTCTCACATCATGCCGTTGGAGGATTCTTGACGCACTGTGGATGGAACTCGACTCTTGAAGGAATCACTGCGGGTGTTCCACTGCTCACTTGGCCATTGTTTGGAGATCAGTTCTGCAACCAGAAGCTAGTCGTGCAGGTGCTAAAAGCGGGTGTTAGCGCCGGGGTTCAAGAGGTCATGAAATTTGGAGAAGAGGAGAAAATAGGAGTGTTGGTTGATAAAGAAGGTGTGAAGAAGGCAGTGGAAGATTTGATGCGTGAGAGTGATGATGCAACAGAGAGACGGGAAAGAGTTAAAGAGCTTGGAGAATTAGCTAACAAGGCTGTTGAGGAAGGAGGCTCTTCCCATTCTAACATCACATACTTCTTACAAGACATTATGCAACTAGCACAATCCAAGAATTGATTGTATTGTTTCTTTTTATTAATCACACCATCATGATGTAATATTTTGTAAGTTTGAATAATCGAATTCGTTTTCAAATTTGGGTCTATTAAAAATTTATATATGTTTACTAATTATTAATTTTTACTTTAAAAAATAATGGAACTTGCCACTTTATCATATTTTGCATACATGTACATTTTTCACATGCATGTGTGAAGATTTGTAATTTCCTAATTACTAAAAGTAATATGGGCTTTGCAATTATAAGGCCCAATAGTATCTCAAGTCCAATAACTATGATCCACGAAGTATGAACCAGTGCGCCCATCTGAAAAGAGTTTTATCAGAATCAGTGCGGCGGTTCTCCGGCGAGGACGTGCTCGTCGAAGAAACTCCTCTGAACTTCATTCTCCGAAGGTAATTCTCGAGCGAGATTTAAAGCTCAACAACGAATTACTTTTCACCCTTGCTTTCCATGGCTCTCTTCCTCGATCAATGTGCTCAAATTCTTGGTCTTGTTCCTTTTAGCCTCTGGAGATTTCGACATAATCGTAGAGTTCTAGATTACGAATTCGAAATTCGCAAAGCCGTATGCTTTTAACTTGTCCCGTTTTTGTGTGTTGTCAGATTTCGTTAAAGTAGTGAACTTTAATAGCTAAGAGCTAAGAGAACGAGCGAAGTTATCAATGGAAAGCGATAAAGAAGAGCCAATGGTTTTCTTGGATCGTACAACCCGAGCCACACGGGGTAAACGGTAAAGAAACCACCTTGAACGAAGCTCCTCCGTATCCCAGAAGAACCTCTCTATCGGAATCTTGACTCATTAGAATTTCTGTTTGCAGGATGACCAAGTTGCTTGATGACGAAGTAGAAGAGGATGAACAGTTTTGGAATCAAGAAGCTCTTAAAGAGGTTCTCTTTTTTTTTTTAATATTGATCATACTCTCTCTTCGTTGTGAGTTTCCATTGCTAGAGATATAAAGGAATAATCATTTATTGTATCTCTTTACCTTTGCTATCTGCAGGAAGAACATGATGATAACTATGAAGCAGAAGCTGAAATTGCTGATGAGTTTGACAGTGACTTCAATGACGATGTATTTTTCGTGTTGGCTTGTTTATTCAGTACTTATTCATCAAAGTGTTTCTCGGATCCCATTTTTTTTCTAATTTCTTTTTGGTGTTGGGGAGTAGGAGCCTGAGCCTGAAGCAGCAGCAGAGAATGAAAAAGAATTGAGGTTTGGACCATCCTCGAAGTTCATCTTTTAATTGCTATTATGTGTGTTTGCAGGGGATTTTGATTCATGCAACTTTGCATATTTGTTGCAGGGATTTGCCAAAGAAGCGGCTGATTTACCCTGGTAAAACTGTTTCAAAGAAAAAGAAGAAGAAGAAGAAGTTAGTTTCGAAACTAGAAGATGCTCCTGAAGGGGAGAAGCCAGTTGAAGAAGAACTGGAAGAGAAGGAACAAGAGGAAAAAGAACAGAATGAAGAAGATATGGAAGGTGAGAAAGTCATTAGAAAATCTACTCGGACTTCAGTGATTGTGCGGCAAGCTGAAAGAGATGCATTGCGTGCTGCTATACAGGCGACAACAAAGGTTTTATTCTACATTAGCTAGTTTCCACTACTGGCTACATACTTAGTTTAAAGTTTAACCATGTTGAAAACCGTTTCTGTGCTTGTTCAGCCAATACAAAGGAAGAAAGTAGGGGAGGAGAAACGGATGACGCAAGAAGAAATGCTGCTGGAAGCTGCTCAAACAGGTTTGGGTTTATGATGCTGCATCCGTTTTTCCTATGAGAAACTTTAATGGCTAAAGTCTGGTATTTTTTTTTTTGCAGAAATCATGAACTTGAGGAATTTAGAACGTGTCTTGGCAAGGGAGGAAGAAGTGAAAAAGAAGGCGATTGTGCATAAGGAGGTCTACAAGGGTCCTCAGGTTCGGTATCTTTCAAAAGATGGATGCAACTATTTGGAGTTCTGTAATGGTGCATCATTCAATTCAGAGATCTCAACGAAGTCTGTTCCATGTAAGTAATCTTGTTCGAGTCGTGTTCTGTTACCTGTACTCCTTATTGATTTCGATCCTTTTATGTTAGTTTGATTTCTCTTTTGCAGATCCAGAAAAGGCTGTGTGTGTGATTACTGGATTACCTGCAAAGTAAGAATTTTTCTGTTCTTTCTACTTTTGTCACTGGGAAAACTCAAAGATCTTGTGGAACGAACACAACTAGTTTCTTCGTTTTCTGCTTCTGCACTATAACTTAGTAGAATTGTTGATTGTTGATTGTTGTTTTGCTGGGTGATATAGGTACCGAGATCCAAAAACTGGTCTTCCTTATGCTACTAGAGACGCCTTCAAAGAAATAAGAGAAAGGTGTCCAAACATTGTTGCATACTTCACTTTATAGAAATGTTCCTCTTAACAGATCAAAATGATTCTCATTCTCTTGCTGTAACCAGAGGGGAACACACATTCTCTTGTACATTGTCTTTAACTTTTGTATTAGAATCTGATGTGTTCCAAACGTCTTGTGTTTTTGGTTCTCTGAAGGTTCATGGACGAACACAATGGTTTGAGAAAGAAAATGGAGATGGGAGATTTGTTTGACACACTTGTCTCGAAAGGATTTGCTGTAAAACAAAAGCGAACAAAGATCCCCAAGAAAGACAGATCATTTTCCCTCAGAAACCCCGCTCGTTTCTCCATGTTGGAGTCTCCAGAGGAGAGTGAAGAAGATTCAGATTCAGATTAATAATGACTTCCTTGTCTGCACAATCTGCCTCTTTGACACTCTCCCGAGACCAGTCTGTGTATAAATTCATCAAGTGTTGTTGGTGTTGAGAGAAGCTTCGGATGTTTTAACTCAGAAGTGAGATGCACATTAGGAAGGTCAGAGCTTCGAATGGAAACAACACTCTAATCAGAGAGAAAGTGTAATTTTATATATTTTGTTGGCCTTCCTTGCAAATCCATGTAATTTAACATTTAATGAATTTATATAAATTATTACTTTGCTTCAGAGTTCTTACTTCTTAGTTCCGATTCAACCGCCAAAATTATGAGCTCAAGCTTCAAGTCCAAGAAACACCAATGCCTCGTCTTGCTCAAGCTCTGTTCCTCAATTAAACATCTTTTACAGATCCATGGCCAAATCAATGTCTCCGCTCTCAAAGCTGATAGCTTTATCATCAGCGAGCTTGTACGAGTTTCTTCACTATCTAAATCCAAAGACCTTACCTTTGCGCGAACCCTTCTGCTTCACTCTTCAGATTCGACTCCTTCCACTTGGAACATGCTAAGCAGAGGCTACTCTTCAAGTGATTCTCCTGTAGAATCGATTTGGGTTTACTCTGAGATGAAGAGACGGCGAATCACACCTAACAAGCTCACTTTCCCTTTTCTTCTCAAGGCTTGCGCTTCCTTCTCCGGTCTCACGGCGGGGAGACAGATCCAAGTCGAGGTTTTGAAACATGGGTTTGACTCGGATGTCTATGTGGGTAACAATCTGATCCATTTATATGGTACTTGTAAGAAAACTTCTGATGCCAGAAAGGTGTTCGATGAAATGACTGAGAGAAACTCTGTTTCTTGGAACTCAATCATGACTGCTCTTGTTGAGAACGCTAAGTTCTATTTGGCGATTGAGTGCTTTGTGGAGATGATTTGTGAGAAGTTTTGTCCTGATGAGACGACAATGGTGGTTTTGCTCTCTGCTTGTGCTGAAAACTTGAGCTTGGGGAAGTTGGTGCATTCGCAGGTGATGGTTAGAGAGTTGGAGTTAAACTGTAGACTTGGCACTGCACTTGTGGACATGTATGCGAAATCTGGTGGATTGGATTACGCTAGGTTCGTTTTCGAGAGAATGTATGAGAGAAATGTTTGGACTTGGAGCGCGATGATTGTAGGATTAGCACAGAATGGATTTGCAGAAGAAGCTCTTGGACTATTCTCGAAGATGACGTCGGTGAGAGCAAACTACGTGACGTTTCTCGGTGTTCTATGCGCTTGTAGCCACGCGGGATTGGTGGAGGATGGTTACAGATACTTCAAGGAGATGGAGAGAACACACAAGATCAAGCCGATGATGATTCATTACGGGGCGATGGTAGATATCTTGGGACGTGCAGGTCGGTTAAACGAAGCGTATGAGTTCATAAAGAGAATGCCTTTTGAGCCTGACGCTGTTGTTTGGAGGACTCTGCTCTCTGCTTGCAGTGTCCATCACGATGAAGATGAGGATGGAATTGGAGAGAGAGTGAAGAAGAGGTTGATTGAGTTGGAGCCGAAGAGGAGTGGGAATTTGGTGATTGTGGCGAATAGGTTTGCGGAAGCGAGGATGTGGGAAGAGGCAGCGGAAGTTAGGAGAGTGATGAAGGAGAGTAAAGTGAAGAAGATAGCTGGAGAGAGTTGTTTGGAGATGGGAGGGTGTGTTTATAGATTCTTCTCAGGGTATGATCCTCGTCCTGATTATGTTTCCATGTATGAGTTGTTAGATTTGTTCAAGTCTCACTTGACGAGTGATGATCATTTGATGTCTAGTGATCCGAATCCATCTTGTTAACTTCTCTAGTGGTTTCTTAATCTTTAACATTCTCTTAAGGTAGTGACTCTAAAGAATTATAATTTTCTAAATCTTCTTTTTATATAATATAGTCCAACAATAAGGATAATATTGTCCCTTCGGGGACATCCGATAAAATTGGAACGAAACTATAAAGGATAATATTTTGATGTAGTTTCAAAAATTGTAGAGTACATTTAACCTTTTTACAAACGGTATAATCAATAACACCAAGTTGTTCATAGAAATGTAAAAACAAGTTAATCATAACGTACTCTTTTTCAGTTATGTAAGAATGATAAAATGATAAATGCAATGCAATTTAAATCTATGGAAATTTTAAAATCAAATTTGGAAAACATGAATGGATGTACGATCGATTGGAGCAACAATAAAAAGTAGTAGCCAATGGCAATATGGCATATCCAATGGAATTGATTCTTAATTCTCGTCCTATAAATAGTTTCAAGATGTTTTTAATATTAAATAAAAAAACGAAAAATCATTAACGAAAAGTTAACTCTATATATCAGTATTAGTGATCGTGATAGTGTAGCACTACTTTCACATGACTCCAAGTCTGAAACCAAGCATCGGCTCCGGCTTAATGTTGTTATTGATAGCTTTGTTTTGTTAATGATTCAAACTTCAAAAACAAATCACATAGCAATTTAGAAAGAAAAAAAAAATGAATTTTCGCCTTACACTTGAATTCCAAAAAATTTACTGTGAGTAAGGACTCAAGTCCAACTCAGAATACTGAAGTCCATGTTGCAGAGAGCCCATCTATTAAGCCCAATCAACCAAAACAGAAGCAGCCAAAACCTGCAAAAGGTGTTGCGCCAAAGAAGGAGAAGATTCCCTGCTCTAACCAATTTGAATTGTTGTCTTCTCTGTCTAACGTCTAGATTGTGACAGCTGTGTCTAGGTGATAAGGTTATGAGCTGTAGATCCGTAATATGCTCAAGTGTCTAGAGCCTTCGTTGTATAGCTTATAAATAGGACCTTTGTATCACGGTTCTAAATCATCTAATACAAGTTCATTTAGTAAAATCCTTTGTTTCATATTACTTTCATGGTATCAGAGCCATTCATGCTCTAACAGGCGAATGGCTGATCCACTGTCTCCGTACCCGTTTCCAAGTAATGTCCACGTCTTGAGCTCCGTCACGCTCAAGTTGTCCGATTCAAATTACTTATTGTGGAAGACACAGTTTGAGTCGCTGCTCTCAAGTCAGAAGCTTATCGGCTTCATCAATGGCACCGTGGCAGCTCCTCCGTCGTCTCATACTGTCGTTGTTGGTGGTGTCCCCACTGTCGAACCAAATCCGCTGTTTGATGCTTGGTACTGTACCGACCAGCTCGTCCGTTCGTGGCTGTTTGGAACGTTGTCAGAGGAAGTCCTCGGAGTGGTTCACAATCTCACGATGTCTCGTGAGACCTGGGTTTCTCTAGCCGAGCATTTCAACCAGAGCTCCCTAGCTCGCAGGATTGCTCTCAAACGTCAGCTACAATTTCTCACGAAGAAAGGGAAGACCTTGGCGGTTTACTGCAGAGAACTGAAGACCATATGCGATTCCTTAGCCGCTATTGGAAAACCTGTCGATGAGGAAGAGAAGATATTCGGGTTTCTTAATGGTCTAGGCAAGGAATATGACATTGTTACCACTGGTATTCAGCGTGACCTCTCCAAGCCGTATCCGCCAACGTTTAATGATGTTGTGACAGAGGTCCAAGCTTATGAATTTAAGCTCCAAGCCTATGAGGCAGAGGAAGTCGTCAACACTCAGCTTGCTTTCAATGCTCAGTCGTCTGATAGCTCCGGTGGTTACAAATCTGGTCCTCAGGTTTACAATCAGGTTACAATCAGAGTCAAAGAGGTGGTAGAGGCAGATACACTCAGAACCGTGGCAGAGGTGGCTATACGTCTCGAGGTTGAGGCTTCTCACAGCATCAGTCAAACACTAATGGTGGTGGTGAACGTCCGGTGTGTCAAATTTGTGGTCGTGTTGGTCACACTGTAGTCAAGTGTTACAACCGTTTTGACAACAACTACCAGGGTCAGGACACACCTAAAGCGTTCTCTGCTCTGCAGACAGCTGATGCTACTGGGAAAGAATAGTATCCGGATTCTGGAGCGACTGCTCACATTACATCCAACAGAGACAACCTCCAGAACACTGAGCCATATGAAGGTAATGACACAATTATGGTCGCAGATGGAGCCTTTCTTCCCATTACTCATGTTGGCTCTGCCAACATAACCTCTGCTACAAGTATAATTCTCCTTAAAGATGTTCTGGTTTGCCCTGAAATACAAAAATCTCTGCTGTCTGTATCAAAATTGTGTGATGATTATCCCTGTGTGGTTTGATGCTAATAAAGTGTGTGTGATTGACATTGATTCTCAGAAAGTGGTAGCAAAGGGACCTCGGGTTAAAGGTCTCTACACGTTGGGGGATCGTAAGTTTGAGGCTAACTACTCTAATCGACAGTGCTCTGCATCGGAAGATATTTGGCATCATCGGTTGGGACATTCAAATGATAAGATTCTCCAACAACTACAAAGCAGCAAGGGAATTACAGTCAATAAGAGCAGAACTAACCTCATTTGTGAGCCTTGCCAAATGGGGAAAAGTAGTAGATTGCAATTTAGTTCTTCTTTTTCCCGTGTTTTAGCTCCTTTAGATTGTGTCCATTGTGACCTTTGGGGGCCTTCACCAGTTGTATCAAACTTGGAATTTAAATATTATGTTGTTTTTATCGATGATTTCTCACGATACTCTTGGTTCTATCCCTTGCGTGCCAAATCTGAGTTCTACTCAGTCTTTACTGCGTTTCAGAAGCTGGTTGAAACACAGTTAAACACCAAAATTAAAGTGTTTCAGAGTGATGGTGGTGGTGAGTTTGTCACCAAAAGGCTTCAGCAACATTTTGTTGAGTGTGGCATCAAGCATCTTGTCTCCTGTCCATACACTCCGCAAAAAAATGGGATGGCAGAAAGAAAACATAGACATGTTGTTGAGCTAGGTCTGTCTATGATGTTCCACAGCAACACACCTCTGAGTTACTGGGTGGAAGCATTTTACTCTGCTAATTTTATCATCAATCTTCTTCCAAAGGAGGTTTTGGGTAACTGCAGTCCAACAGAGGTTTTGTTTCATGAAGTTCCAAATTACAGTATGTTGAGAGTGTTTGGTTCAGCGTCTTACCCGTATCTTCGTCCTGTGTCTGATCACAAGCTTGAGCCTCGGTCCCTTCAGTGTGTGTTTCTTGGGTATAGCTCTCAATACAAAGGATACAGATGCCTACACCCACCAACTGGAAAAGTCTATATGTGTCGTCATGTTGTATTTGATGAGGAATGCTTTCCGTTTAAAGATAGGTACGAGCCTTTGGTCCCTCGTTACCACAGTAAATTGCTCAATGCTTGGCAACACTCGACAACTACGGAAACATCGTCTCCGGAGGAAGTTAGTCAAATTCCGAGGGCTTTACCGTTGTTACCACCAACGCCAGAGGTTGAAAATATTGGAGAGAATGCGAGTCCTGGTCATAATGAGTTGAATGACACTTGGTCAGATACAGAGTCTGCAGAAGGAGCTCCAGTGGAAAACACTCACCCTATGACTACAAGGTCTAAAGCGGGAATACATAAACCCAACACTCGTTATGTATTGCTTGCATCCAAATTTGTCCCTGCCACACCTAAGTCCATCGCTGAGGCTATGAAACATCCGGGTTGGAATATCGCTGTAATGGATGAGATGGGAAGGATACATATGTTACATACCTGGAGTCTAGTGCCTCGAACAGAAGACATGAATGTACTCAGTAGCAAGTGGGTCTTCACACCTAAGATGAAGCCAAATGGAGAGTTGAATAAGCTGAAAGCGAGACTTGTTGCGAAAGGTTTTGATCAAGAAGAGGGTCTAGATTACTTGGAGACTTTCAGACCTGTCGTGCACACAGCTACTATCAGAATGATCCTTGATGTAGCAACGTCGAAGGATTGGCAGATTAAACAGTTGGATGTGTCAAACGCCTTCTTACATGGAGAACTGAAGGAGCCAGTCTTCATGTTTCAACCCAAAGGTTTTGAGGATCCTGAAAAACCTGATCATGTCTGCAAACTCACCAAGGCACTGTATGGTCTCAAACAAGCTCCTAGAGCATGGTTTGATACATTCAGCAACTATATCATTGACTATGGATTCACATGCAGCAAGTCTGATCCATCTCTATTCCATTATCATCGCAATGGAAAGAAAATGGCGCTGCTTATGTATGTTGATGATATGCTACTTACTGGAAGTGATCCTGCACTACTACAAGATCTCCTTGACTGTTTAAACAAGAGATTTTCGATGAAGGACCTTGGCAAACCACATTATTTCTTGGGTGTTGAAATTGAATCATATACAGGGGGAATGTTTCTTCATCAACAAGCCTATGCCGCTGACATTTTACATCAAGCGTCTATGTCAGACTGCAATCCGATGCCAACTCCCTTACCGCTTCAACTAGATGACCTCAACTCTGAACCATTCTCAGAACCGACTTACTTTCGAAGCTTGGTGGGAAAACTACAATATCTCACCATCACGAGGCCAGATATTCAATATGCGGTGAACTTTATATGCCAAAGGATGCACTTACCTACAGTCTCTGACTTTCATCTCCTCAAACGCATCCTGCGGTATATAAAAGGAACCATTAACTTTGGCATGCACATCAAGAAGGACAAGGAGTTGACACTACATGCGTTCTGTGATAGTGATTATGCAGGCTGCAAACAAACCAGGAGGTCAACAACAGGGTTCTGTACAATGTTGGGTTCAAATCTGATCTCCTGGTCCGCCAAACGGCAACAAACCGTGTCCAAGTCGTCAACTGAAGCAGAGTATAGAGCTCTCACTGCAACAGCTCAGGAACTTACCTGGCTATCATTCTTGTTACGTGATCTGGGTATTGAACAGCATCAACCGACGGTCTTGAAGTATGATAATCTCTCTGCAGTATACCTGAGTACAAATCCAGCTCTACATAACAGGTCAAAGCACTTTGATACAGACTTTCATTATGTTCGTGAGCAAGTGGCTTTGGGGTTGATCGAAACACAACATGTGCCGGCTGCTGAACAATTGGCCGATGTTTTTACTAAGTCTTTGCCGAAGAAGCTCTTCTTTGACTTGAGGAGCAAACTTGGTGTAGCTGGACCACCTACACTAAATTTGAGGGGGAATGTGAGTAAGGACTCAAGTCCAACTCAGAATACTGAAGCCCATGTTGCAGAGAGCCCATCTATTAAGCCCAGTCAACCAAAACAGAAGCAGCCAAAACCTGCAAAAGGTGTTGCGCCAAAGAAGGAGAAGATTCCCTGCTCTAACCAATTTGAATTGTTGTCTTCTCTGTCTAACGTCTAGATTGTGACAGCTGTGTCTAGGTGATAAGGTTATGAGCTGTAGATCCGTAATATGCTCAAATGTCTAGAGCCTTCGTTATATAGCTTATAAATAGGGCTTTTGTATCACGGTTCTAAATCATCTAATACAAATTTTTATTCAGTAAAATCCTTTGTTTCATATTACTTTCACTTACTACGAACAAGCTCGTAAAATAATATCGATCAATCTCGCATAGAAACATCCACTAAAAACATACTATATAACAATTGATAACCACCATTCACCTAAGTAATTAATATGGCTGATTCATCTGACTTTTGACGTATGAGTGTGTTAGGTAATATGAGTATATCTTAGGTTAAAATACGAACCAGGACAACAAAATATTGCATGCTCGAAATTTTAGTTATCTGATGTTGTTTTAGGCACTTAGAGGTTGAACAGATATGAAAAATCAACACGTAAAGTCATCGCATGCGTACGATCCATGTTATAATTTTTGTACTTTCGTATGTATTATTCTATGTCGGTTTAATACTTTAATTTCATAACTAAGTACTATTAATTTATTCATTATAAAAGATAATTCATGAAATCGTATCACATTTTTCTTAAAGTAAGCTATAAAGTAAAGTAAAATGATTTATGACAATATGATATAATTCATGGAGTATGATTGGAGCTGAAGTGAAAAGGGTAGCCAATGGCATATCCCTTGGAAGATTCCCAATTTCTCAAACCCATAATATTTTTTCCTTCAAGTATAGATGTATATAGAGAGTAAATTAAATATGATTACATGATATATAATTAAAAAAAAAACAAATCGAATATCAGGAAATTTTGCTAGCATATATTATGGGACATATGTGTATCTAATTATATAGCACACATATGTGTGCGACTGTGCGTACTTGTGTGAGTCTATAAAGAAAGCATAAAAGCATCATATGAAACCCTCTCTCCACAACACCAAACCATGACGGTGGTGTTGGCTTCTTCTCTGAAGAGCTAAGGAGGTTGGAACCCGCTGGCCGCTGAGACAGCAGGTTCTCTTATGTATGTACATAGGGCAACTCGATCGGATCCTTTGGCATTTCCTCGGTTTGGGATTGAAGAAGAAGATGTGTGTGAGTTCTGTTTAAATTGTGTTGGCTCCTAGTTTCACTTCTTCTGGTTTGTATTATTTACCTCTTTTGTCTTTCACTCCCTCTCACTCCATCTATGTGCTTGTGCTATCTGTTATAAGACTTGATAATTATTAATTACAACTTTATAGTTTATGAGTTGATGCTGAGTTTTGATTCTACAATTTGATTCGATTGAGATTTTAGTTCACTAGATCTCACCCGTGTAATTCGATTCGAGTTGAAAATATGGCTGCCTAAGACTTGAGAATCGTAGGGACAAAAGAAAGAAAGAAGAGTCTACTTTTAAGTGAATATATTTGGGGTGATCCCTTTGTAAAAAGCATTTAACTGGTGTTGGATGAATTGTGGAATTTGGCTGAATTTAGCTAATTTTCAATGTTTGTCACCAGTTATAGTTGAGTAATTCTGTGGAATGGAATTGAGGAATGTGATGGAGATGTGTGGAAACAATAAAAATACACAATTGAAAGAAAAAAAAAACATCACAGCTTTTACTTTTTTTTTCTGCATTTCAATTAGCCTTGTGCATGCATTTCGGATTTTGGACGAGAATTGACGGGAACGGAACGGGAATAGGAAATTTGGGAAACCAAATATGATTCCCGATGTATTCCCTTATTATAACGGGACGGTAAATAACGGGAATGGGAAGGAAATAGGAAATCTCGGAATAAAAAATTAATACCCTAAGTCTTAATAAATCGGGAAAATTAAAGATATTTCGGAAAATTAGGAGAAAATACGGAAAAATATGGGAAAATACGGGAAATTATGGGAAATTATGGGAAAATATGAGAAAAATTGGGATATTTAAGAAGATATATCTAATTTTCAATTTTTTATTTTTTAAACAGAAAAATCGGAAAATCTCGTACCATTCCCTTAACCGTTTGAATGAAAGAAATGTTTCCAAAGGGAAATTGCAAATTCCCATTTCTGAAAAGTTTGGGAATTTTAAACGGGTAAATGCACATGGCTAATTTCAATAGATAAACCTTTTGCAAGAACAAGAAGGAACAACGGAATGTGCTTATATGTAAACAATACGAGAAAGAATAAAGCAGCAAATATGGGATAATTTTCATTAAATAACTAGTACTTAAAATAATATATTTCAAATGTATTTTTTTTAATTTGTAATAAATTACTTTAAATCCAAAATTCTAAATTTTATATTTTAATAGATTTTTATTTAAATATTGTATTTAGTTATTTCATAATTATATATTTTTAGTTATTTGATTAATTCAACTGCGTAAATATTTTATTATTCACGTATACAAATAATTTCTTAACTATTTATTCTGCTGAGAGATTCAACTGTTACCATTCATATTACTAATTAATCAGCCAGATTCGGCAACTATTCATTATTTAATTCCGCCAGATTCCGCATTCAGCAACATTCCTCGATTACCATTTAGACCCGGGTTTTGTGGAAACGGGTTATTTGCTTCTTATTCAAATAGTTGAAAAACAAATTTAGTGAAGAATTATTATTTTCTCTTTCCATTTTGAGACAAACTCATGTTGGAGGTGCTCTAAGGAGATTTGTATCCGTATTTAATAGAACTAAGGCATCATATTCATTGCATATCACGACGCGTCATGGGTTGCAAAAGTTTGGCACAGAGATGATAAGTTCTCAGGCTACGGTTTCATAATGTCTAAAGGTAACAGCATTATAAAATCGGGATCGACGGGGAGATACAGAACTCTGTCGCCTTTATATGCAGAGTGTGAGGCCCTACTATGGGCTATGAAGATCGCAATACAAGAAGGAATAAAGTCTATAGAACTGGAGACTGATTGCTCCCAGTTAGTGCAAATGCTTCATGATAATGACCCTTGGCCAGCTTTCTCCTCTGAGATAGAGGAATTTCTTTCTCTAAAAATTGAAAATGGATGTTTGCTCTGTATCTTTTATTCCACGTTCTTTAAATTCTCGAGCCGACTCTCTTGCGAAAGAAGCTAGAGCTCGACAAGTCTTATTTTGCTCTGTAAACTCTGTGGATCACGAACAGATAGCCCTACAAGCTAACTCGATCGTACCACTCTAAGTTTTAATGAGAAGTTCTTTTGTCGCCAAAAAAAAAAAAAAAAAAAAAAAAAACCGTAATGGTGTTGCAAGAACATTAATCCAACCAGTTAATCTAAGTTCTACGACTAGTTATGTTTATTAAATTGTTATTCACCAATATCGGCATGAGACTGATGCGCCTGGCGAGTATAGGGTTTATCATCTTGTTATAGTTCTAGATGAAACATATAAAAATTGGTGGAGGCTATAAAGAACTTTGAACTCATAACGAATACTCAAAATTTGAGTTATTTTATTGGATAAAGTAAAACTTTTAAATACTTGACTAATCATAATCTCACTAAACTGAAAAAAAAAAAAATTGTTTTGGCGGACTAACATTAGTAACTCAATAAGAAAATACACTATTAGAATCATCTTAATCCTATTTAGTATTTTGCCTTGATAAATTCTGCTATTTTTGGTAAAATTTTAAATACGTATCTTTGAGTTAATTTATTTATTTCCATATAATCACCGGTCAACATTCATATGCCTTATAGTGCATCTAACATGATTTATGTTCTCCCTAAAATGACATCATAAATCAACAATAATGGTTGATCCTCTCCTTTATAAAAGTCTTTCCAAGCGTCAATACTCAATACACATACATGCTATTTTCACATAACTCAAAATAAAAACAAATCATTGGTCGAGAAGAGCATCGATGGGTTGCAAAAGTTTGCTTATCATTCTCATTATCGTCTCTCTCTTTGGTGCCCACGAATGTAAGAAGTGGATCCATATCTTCATTCAATTTCAACCCCTCACATTCGTATTACACTTTCGTACATTTCTATTTTCAAATTTGTATAAATATATCAGGTCTTCATAAATTCAATTCATTGTTTCCACATGATCATTTTTACATTTTTGAGATGATGATTATAGGTAGTGATCGCAATGATCCTAAAGGAAGAGAAAGATGCTTCCATACATTTCTAGGAAAGCCATGGCCACTCGAGGTCTTGTGTTGCATCGAAGATCCAACCAATTGCTTCGCTTTCTGGCTTACGGATGAATGCATCAAATGTCCGCCACTAAAACAAGGTCCAAAACCGTCTCCGCCGCGTGGTGTAAAACTCCATACTCTATAAATGCTCAATGAATAATATATCATCGAATTATGAATAATAGATTAAAAAAGGGTATGAGTATGAGTGTATGACAAGCATTGTAATAGTTATAGTTTATAATAATACTAGTATTTGGTCCATGCTATGCATGGACATGAACATTTATAACAGTAAAACTACCTATAAAATTGATAAAAGATAACATTTTAAAATCAACACAATGAGTTGTAATTTCCGGGTTGAATTTTATGATTTCGCGTCAAGCTTTATGCAAATTTTTAATCTGCAAAGTCTCAATCAGGTTTAAAAACATGGGATAAATAAATCACATTACAGAACCTGAATTCTTGAGATAAATAAATCACATTACACAATGATGAGGTTAATTAATACACAATGAAGTGAAGCAAAGATCTCCCAATCTCTAACTATTTCTCCATTACTCAACTGGTATTATTTTGGTCAAAACACTGGTTTTTGAACGAAGAGTTGGTACTCTTTCACAAACATCTGATCTTCAAACATTCACAATGCCAAGGTTTGAATGCATCATAGCATGATCTACAAAGCATAACAATAGGTCCACCAAAAAAAGACTAAACAATCAATTATTGAACCACTGAAATACAAAATAACAATTGGAAACATAATATTTCAAAAGTTACATTCCTAAGTTTAAATGTACTAACCAAAGTCTCTTGACTTACCAATTGGAAACATAATATTTCATATGTGTTTTCCTTCTTCGAGTTTCTTTTGGAACTTAGACATTAATTTCCCTTCTCTTATGCAAGCTTGTATACGATCTCCCCTGACATCAAAATAACAATTAAGTATGAAACTTTGTATATCTTTAGAGGAAAAGTAGTTATATGAAACAGAAAAACATGAAAAATTAAGATTCGGTAATGTACCTTATCATCCACAAGTATTAAATCAAGTCCACCATTATTTCCAGAATTGTTGCTGTTTTGAAATCGCCAAAGACGGGATCACTCGAGCTTTGATATTCCAAACATTGTTTTTAGAAATGGGCTTTAATTCAGCGATTGGTGTGAAAGGAAGCACCTTCTAAGTAAAGAATCAAAGTAGAACCTGAAATCAAATTCAGAAAATTAGAATTAGAGACAAAGACTTATGGAGAAGGTTGATGATTTTGCAAAATTTCCAGTAATCTTAAAACTTTATAAATAGAAAACCAGAAATAAAAATAAACCCAAGATTCGGACTTAGGGTTACCTGCTTTTTAAAGATCACGGCTTGAGTCGTCTCCGGCGGTGGATCTGCACAGCACATTATTAGTGATCAATTTTCAGGGATGGAAGAAAGGAAGATTTACGAATTGATGCATGTGAAAAATTGATGAGGATTGAAGCAAAAGCAATTACAATATTTCGTTCTCAGATTGAAGCAAGGTTATCAACTAACAGAGAAGGAAAAAAAACCAGAATACAGAGATACCTGATTTAAGAAGAATAGACTTGATTCATGGATCTGGGCCGAACAGATGTTTAAAGGAAGAAGATGAATTTGAGATCTAGAAAGATAAAACACAATAGTTGAAGATGAATAGACTTTGGTGGTTTTTGTATTTATATATGTGAGAGATTCATAGTAATTGAGGATTTCAGAGTTTTAAGATCTTGATGTAGCGGTTTAGAGAGGAGATCGTGCTGTTGTCGTGGAAGAGAAAATTGAAATTTCAGAAAAAAATTGAAAATAAAAAATGGGAAAAGCAGCGAAAAAAACAAAATTAAAAAATTAAAATAAAAACGAAATTTGAAAGGACACGTGTCAGATGGATAGACCATTAGCTGACTTCTGCTTTATTAGTATTATTAGATAGCCATTACATTGACTTTGAATGCCCATATACCTAATTCAGTCATCAAAAATAGATAATACAAGTACACAAAAAAAAAAAAAGTTGCAAGAAGTAATTGTTACGATCATCATATTTCATATACTGTTGTACGTAACAAATTAGTTCAAACATAAACGCAATTTTGTTAAGAATACAATGAAACGCTATTATTTGCGTTACAAATCTGGGCCACGGGCCCATTCTATTAATCTTAAAGAAATACCCTTAGTAAATATTAATATTTACGAAAATCTGCCACTGCCTAGTAGACTGTAATTTACTGCATTTTCTCTATCTTTCCCTCAATGGCTGCAAAATCCTAATAGCCAACTCCCAGGATTTTGTTTCATCTTCTTCCTGCAGATCCATGTTATGAAACCTTCCCTGAACCCTAATTCACTCGTCAATTTCTCGAGATTTGATCGGATGTTAACTTCTACTCCTGACATCTCGGCGATTCGTCTCTGAACTCCAACGTAATCAACTGGTTTTAAGACTCTTTTAAGGTTCGCTTTCGTTTTTCTCTTACTCCAGATTCACTTTACTCGAAAAGCCACCGCTTTTTGAATGCCGTAGTTTTCTCGATTTGGTTAAAGCATGTTTAATTCGACTCGATTGCTGAATCTGTTCATCTCTTTTAATCTCGGTTTGCTTCTCCGTTTGTTTTTTTTTTCTTGTTGTGGAGCAGATTTGTTGCAATGAAGGAAGAGCCTGTGTCCGGGTCGATACGCGGCGCGGAGCTCTCCGGTTCGGTTTGGCAATCTCCGGTTAAGCGGATGGCTTTAGACGGTGCGTGTGGGGAGAGTGGTGACAGGAGTAGGACTAGTTGTAAGAGAATCAAAACGACTCAGGTCAATGGTTTCATCGTTTACACGAGAACTAAGAAGACTAAATTCACCAAGCGTAATGAAGAAGATGAAAACGCTGGTTTTTCGGAAACTAGAGTCTCAGATCGTCCCGGCGAGTCAAAACCAAGTATCGGCGTCACAGTTTCTTCAGGTGATATGTGTCGCAACGACTCGATAGCTGAGAGTAACAATAGACTTGTTGAGAGCCCTGCCGAGAAAAATGCTATGGAAGAGCGGTTAGTTACTGGGAGCTTAGCTGAGACTCCGGCAAAAGAAGTGGATACTGAGAATAAGAGTTGTTCATTAGTCGATGTTGTTATTGATGGCATCCAATTTGTAGAGTTGTTACATGAAGCCATTCCTGTAGAGATTCTACCAGACGGAAGCTTGGATCTTGAGGTAGGGAGCGTAAGGGATAAAGAGAGAACCATGAGAAAACCCTATTACACTAAAAAGGAGAAGAAGCATGGATCTTTAAAGCGTACAACACAGATATATAAATCGGTTTTGAGAGTGAAGAAGATAAACAATTTGGTGCCTAGGGATGTAGAGGTTATGGCAGGATCGGGATTTGGACGTGAGGGGTTGAATGAAGAGTCTCGTTCTGTGAGTTTGGTTGACAAGTCGAGTTTCATCCGCAACAGGCCAGTAACAGTGAGGGAACTTTTTGAGACCGGTATACTCGATGGTGTGTCTGTGGTTTACATGGGTACTGCTAAGGTTTGGGCTGTTTTGTTTTGTTATGTATGCTTTTTGTGACCATTTTGATTCTCGCTTCGTTCTAAGAAGTGTATTTGTTTGTGTGGCAGTCTCAAGCCTTTGGTCTCCGTGGCATCATTAAAGATGGTGGAATTTTGTGCTCATGTCCCTCCTGTGATTGGGCTAATGTAAGCATCTCTTTTTTGCACTCTGCCTCTCAGAATTCAGGTTGATTTTGATGATCTTTAGTAATTCTATCTAAAAACGTTATTTTTTGTAGGTTATTTCAACTTCCAAATTTGAGATTCATGCTAGTAATCAGTACAGGCGAGCATCACAATATATTTGCTTTGAGAATGGTAAGAGCCTGCTAGATATTCTGAAGATTTGTAGGAACGCTCCTCTACATGCTCTTGTAGCAAGAGTTCTTGATGCTGTTGATAGTGAGACTAAAGAAAAATGCTTCACCTGTAAAAGATGCAAAGGTGGGTTTGTTGTATTATTTATCCCTACCCTTTTATAAAAAGTATCGATTTCTATACTAACGGTTAAAATTGAACTTAATGCCTCTGGTTTCTAGGCGTGCTTCCTTTGTCCTCTCTTGGCCATCGAGGGTTTCTGTGTTTGTCATGCTCGGAGGTAGAAAATTCTCAGGCCAGCCTTGCTGCTACAATGACCTCTACTAGTGCTCCTTCATGCATAGCATCTCCGGTTGTGCGCAGACTGAAGATAACAAGAAAGTTGGTAACCTTTATTCTATGTTTAGGTTTCCATTTTATAAGTGGCCAGAAATTATTTTCGTTGGGCATCATGTGTGTGTATAAATATTCAATTCTGTGCTGCCTTGGTTTGCCTTTTCAGGCCATCAGAATCCACTTCAATATCTACTCTATCTATGTCACCACTTGGAAATAGCGCTCAAAAGATAACAAGAAAGTTGGTACCATTTTGCTGTTGTTCATTTTGTTTTATATCTTGGATCGTCATCAATCATTGCATGAAGATACTAAACTTTTCTAAACCATAAGATAGGACTCTATTTGCAATTTTGTGGTCGCTTAGGCATGTGATCTGTAGTGCATGTCCTTGCTTTCCTGAATCTGTTATCAAATCTTAAATATTACCTTGCGTCTCAGGGCATTACGTCAAGCTTTGGTTGGGAAGGCTCTCAGTGCTTCTACAAATATATCTTTACAAAAGAAGTGCAGACCTAAATTTAAGAAGATGTTGGTATCTTTACTTCATGATGATGTTAGCCAAATTAACACTGATGATAGAGATTATTGTTTTGATGCGTCTGGTTTGCTTGTATTTCTTGAAGGTTGACTCAACATTCTGTGACCCCCAAGGCGCTAAAAAGCGTGTCCCTTTCTGTTTCTTCAAAAAAGAGGAGTTGTAGAATATCGAAAAAGTTGGTATTGTTTATTTATCGCGACCTTAGTTTCGTTTATTCTCGCTGGTTTCCGTCTATAATGTTTTACATATATATCCTATTTCATACAGGGATCAGGGATTTCACAGGTTTGTGTTTGAGGAAGGGGGATTACCAGATGGAACTGAACTAGGATACTATGGCCGTGGACAGGTTACTTACCTTATCCTATGTGTGGTTATATCTCTCTTCACCTTGCCTTCTCTTTTAAGACATATATCACTGTGGGCAGAAATTGCTCGGAGGCTACAAAATGGGTGCTGGAATATATTGTTACTGCTGCAAGACTGAGGTACTTTTGCACACTGTACACACTACATGATGCCTTGTCAGTTAGTTCTTAATTTTGCATTTTGCGTGCAGGTGAGCCCCTCTCTGTTCGAAGCTCATGCAGGCTGGGCATCTCGTAGAAAACCGTGCGTATTTTTTCCCTGTCTCTTGTACATTGGAATTTTTGCATTCCCTTAATATCTGAGTATTCTTTATTCTTCTTGCAGTTATTATTACATATATACATCTAATGGTGTGTCTCTTCACGAATGGGCAATTACTTTCTCACAAGGTCGGGGATATTCAGCTAATGAAAATGACAACTTGTGTGTTATTTGTGCTGATGGTGGAAATCTTATGCTCTGTGATAGCTGCCCAAGAGCCTTCCACATAGGTAAAGCTTTACTAAAACCAGTTTTGCTGCATGCATTTCACTTTCTTTCTCTATCTCTCAAATGATTTTGCCTCTACTTCGGTACCTGCACTTTTCGGTAAAATATTGCATGCAGGATTACTTAATTGTATAGTTTTTATGATTATAATACTACTCTAGAAATATATATGGATATTTCTATAAGAAGGATCACTTTGAGAAAAATTTGGCATTTTAGTCACTTTGCTGAATTTCAGATCAGGTCTCTCAAACAGTAGGGTCTGATGACATTCTTATGTGTTGGATCACTTTATTGAAATTTTCGATCACTTTTACTGAACATATCTGTCTGGTGTATGTAGAATGTGTTTCCCTTCCAAGTATTCCTCGTGGTAACTGGCATTGCAAATACTGCGAGAAAAATGCCAAGAGCGAATTTGTTGGAGAGGACAATGTTAACTCTTCCACAGCTGGTCAACTAGAAGGAGTTGATCATGTTGATCAGTTAGCTGGACGATGCATTCGAGTTGTCAAGAACATGGAAGCCGAAACAAATGGGTGTGTACTATGCAGGTAATCATTATAGCTGAGATAAAATTCTTCTTCTTAGTGTGCTGTAGGCTTAAAAATTATTTGACTACTCTGTCCTTCGAGTTACTTAGTTACATGAGTATTACCTGTACCAAGAGACAGTTAGGTCTATCTTAGGATTAATTGTTTCTGAAGACACCATTAGGTCTAGCATAAAGGTATTATATCACCTGTTTTGACAGACCATTAGGTCTATGATAAAGTGTCTGAGAATCATAGGTTTTAATGTAGTAGTCGCTTTTTGCATATCTGGCCAACACTAAACAGATCAAACTTATCCAGTATGTATTAATTATCTTAGCTAATAATTTTTTTATTGTCCACAGTGGTTCTGATTTTTGTAGATCCGGATTTGGGCCACGGACAATTATAATATGTGATCAGGTACTTTCTCAAATTGGACTATTCTGTCATTTGCATATCAAAATAATCTACTGTTACTTATCTCTATTTTGCAACAGTGTGAAAAGGAGTACCACATTGGATGTCTGAGTAGTCAGAACATTGTGGATTTAAAGGTGACCGCATATAGCTTTGTCCCCAGCCTACAATCTTCTGCGTTTGTGCACAGATTAGATCAATACCTCCTACACACTGTTTGTTACCTGATTACTGGGATTATATGATTTTTCTGACAGGAATTACCTAAAGGAAATTGGTTTTGCTCTATGGACTGTACGAGGATCAACTCCACGTTACAAAAACTACTTCTTGGTGTACCGGAAAAGCTTTCAGATTCTTCTTTGGAAATAATACAGATGAAGCAAGAAAGAAATTATGTTAATCCCGTGATTCCCGTCAGTCATCCTGACATTAGATGGAGACTGATAAGTGGCAAAGTAACTTCTCCTGAAAGCCGAATGTTGCTGTCACAGGCATTGGCTATTTTTCATGTAAGTAGCTTTGCCGTTCAAAATTTAATACTTAAACTGGCAAAATTATTCTACACGAATAGGACAGGGAAGTTTTCATAGGTCTATATTATCCTCATGTGTTTTCATAGGTCTACAAAATTACTTAGAAACTTTAATATATATTATCGTCTTGATTTGTTTGGTATGTACGAATGTCTCTATTTATATGCCTACAAGTTGAACCAAAGTAAGGCATAACCATGAGTAGCCCCTTCTGGAAAATTTGTTTTAACTTTGAAATGCAGCAGCTTATTGTGCTACCTTTGTATTCCTTTGTATCCTTCATGGAATCATTATATGACTCAAAATTTTGGCTCTGATCAATAGGACTTTGCTAACCGCTACTACCATGCAATGTCTTGTTTTGCAGGATTGCTTTGATCCTATAGTTGATCCACTTTCTGGGCACAATCTTATTCCGAGAATGGTTTACGGGTGAGGACTCTTCCATCAATGCCTGCTTCAAGTAGCCTGACTTTGATCCTTTAAACACACAATAACAACCACAAGTGGCTTTTTTTATTTAGGAAGAGTATGCAAGGACAAGACTATGGAGGAATCTGCTGTGCTGTTTTGACTGTAAAGTGAGATTATTTTCCTCCATTCAATCTAATCAGATGCCATATATATTGTTATTGTGGTTTTAACCATTGATTTGGCTTTTATCCGATTGCTAATATGTGTAGTGCAACTGTTGTTTCTGCTGGACTACTACGAGTATTTGGCCGAGAGGTTGCAGAACTTCCATTAGTTGCAACACGCGTGTGCAGCCGAGAGAAGGTAATGTCTTCTTGTCCCATTTACAAACCATATATAGGAAGATAAATTCTGTTTCTTGGTTGGCTTATGAGGTTCCTTGCTTTTTATTGGGGTTTATACAAAACAGGGCTACTTTCATTTGCTCTTCTCCTGCGTTGAGAAGCTACTCTCGTCCCTGAATGTCGAAACCATCGTGGTTCCAGCAGCTGAAGAAGCAGAGCCCTTATGGATGAACAAATTTGGGTTCAGAAAACTCGCACCTGAACAAGTAAGCGGATTTGATTCATTTATGAATTGTATAGTTTCTGAATTCTGTTGTGTATGAGAATCTCATAACAGTTAAACCCTTCATTGTTACAGCTCAGCAAGTATGTAAAGGTGTGCTACCAAATGGTGAGGTTCAAAGGAGCGTCTATGCTGCAGAAACCGGTTCAGTCGCACCAAATCATTGACAAGAAAATCGAGACCGGCGTGTCTTTAGAAGAAAATTTTGATTTGAAACAGCCTAAGGAGTCGTATGTTCATCTTTTGTGTTGAAGTAAAGCAAGTCATGAATTTGGTTTTAAAGATGGATGAAAGAGTTACAAATTACAGTAGAGACGTTTGTAAATTTTTGTAGATGCGAAGCGAAGCTCTTCTTTTTTTATTGTTTACTTTTTAGGCTCACATTTTTACCTTTTGTTCTTATTGGGAAAAAAAGAAAAGTTGACGTTTCTACCAAGATGTTTAATTTAGAAACATTTGAATATGTATTAATAACATTGAACGATACAAACAAGACATAACAACTACCCTGCCAAGTAAACACAAAGACAGCCATATGCACCCAAAAATATCAACCAAACCAAAAACTACAGCACTAGATAGAGGCCAAGCCTTTTCTAACCGTCAAAAAAATCATGAAGCCAAGTAGGGTGACTAAATGCAATTTAAAAAGAAAAACAAATACTTTAAGAAACAAAATGTGTTTGTTTGGACTATATCAAGATTGTTTCTTTCAATTCCTGATCATTTGACTACTTGTTTATTCAAATGCTCCACCATAGGTATGGTAAAACAATGAAATGAAACTGAGTCTAAATTATAGTTGTTTAAATAAACAAAAATGAGCAAAAACTAAGATTTAAATAAGCAAAACATAAGTAAAGAATAAGCAAACAAACAAAAAGTGATCAACGGTCCCAAAAAAATGATAATTACTCATTACAACGACGCCAACTAAATCAGCAAAACCGGGGGATTTTAAAGTTTAAACTATATATGATCTTAAGGAATGACAATGTGCATGGTTTGTGTAATGACTTTTCTATTGATCTAGGTTGGTGAAAACTCTGCGTAGATTCCCTACTCCAATTGATTATCGTAAATGAATGGCTTTGTTTTTCACGAAGGTCTACTTTGGAGAGCATAGATCATATAGTAAACAATTAACATATTTAACCTTCTTCTTCTTCTCTAGTAACATATGGTTTTATCCAAAATAAACAGAGAAAAAGTTAGAGTAAGTAAGACAAAAATCAACTTCATAATACAAGGGAGAGGCTTTCAAAACACATTTATCCAGTGGAGTGAGACAGCAAAATCCTCCAGGAAGCATTGTAGCTAGTTTCTCTCTTGATTAAAGACATTTATTCAAGGACTGCTTTATTGAAGGCTCCATTGATTTTATCTTTGGACATGGAAGATCACTCTACTAGGTATTTAAATAAATGATTAACACCGCATGTGAGACAAGTTCAAAATATGACATAACAACTTGTTTAAACTGTAAGCAGGATTGTACGATTACGTCAATATTACCAGATGTATCACAGCTCATGGAAGGGAGTCAGAAGCTGATAACACTGGATTTTCGTTCGTCAACGGCAAGATATATGGAACCAGCAAGGTATGGTTGGGACGAGCCTGGAAACCCTATGCTACCGTTGTCTTCTCCAACATGTTCATCTCTGGAGTCATCTCTCCAGACGTATGGAACGATTTTGGGGATCCAACTAGAGACATGTAAGGGTTTACAAACAATCTCTTCCAAATAAGACATCAAAATATCTCTAAGTTACATTTGGTAATTGAATGATTTTGTTCTGTTTTTCAGGAAGGTTATTTTGGAGAGCATATATGCTATGGAGATGGAACAAACTCCAAGGAAGAATTTCATACAGTAAAGAATTATCAGATTATGAAGCTTATTTTCTCACTGGGATATCCTACATAGGGTGTGATTGGTAAGTGCTTTCAGTGCTCTGTGGAGCAATAATTTTTTTTAGAGCACTAGTGTTAAACCAAGTATTGATTTCATTTTTTAAGTTCAAAACCATAATTTTAGATATGAAAATAATTTGGCTCTACAGAGCAGATTTTCTAGAGCACAAATTTAAGGACTCTCATAATTCTCTCTCTTCTTAATCTTTAGTGTCATTCTCTATATTTATTTTTTTAATGTTTCTTTCCTATATATATTTTATGTAACTTGTGTCTCAAGTCTTTAAGTACTAATAAGTGTTCTTGTCTTGTTCTACCTATCATTCTGTTTCTAGTAAATCCCACGGACACAAATGATCACACAGCCTAGTAAGAAATCAAATCAAGTATCCATAAGCAAAAAGAGCAGGAAACAATCAGCGAAGCAAAGCATAAATAGCGAACATAGAAGCAGACGGCGAGTTCAACTCACATGTTTCGTCATCAATATAACTCAAGCTTCCGGTAACAAATCATATCACAAGGAATTCATTTAAACAACATAAAGAATTTAAAAAAAAAAAAAAAAAAAAACACACACAATAGGGCACAGTGAAACATGTTAAAAACACTAGATCAACCACAGTATCAAACATGTCTCTTCATCAATATATCAATTGAACAGGAAAATACAAGAAACTTGAGTACCAAGGCAATAAGCATAATCTGCGTTTGCCAGTTATTAGTTTAACAATGTCAATATTGCAAGGGAGTCAAATAACAAATCCGCATGATAAGCGATCATAAGACATTCATTGAGCATCTATGGGTGAGGGAGTTTTACGCCAGGCGAAGAAGATCGTTTTGGACCTTTATTTAGCGGCGGACATTTTTTGAGGCAATCTTTGGGAAAGATGACAGGGAAGCAAGTGGAGGGAGCTTCGATACAACAAAAAAACTCGAGTGTCCATGGCTTTCCCATAAATTTATGGAAGCATCTTTCAATTCCTATCGGATGATCTTGATCGCGACCTATATCATCATTTATCTCCAAAATGTAAAAATAATATAGTTATATAAATTTGAAAATAGACATGTACGAAAGTGTAATACGACATAACTAATCTATTTTTAATATTTGGTATTGAAGAAGGAAGATGTCGATCCATTTCTTACAATCGTGGACACCAAAGAGAGAGACAATCACGAGAAGGATGACTACACTTTTAACACCCATATTTGATCTCTTCGACCAGTGATTTTCTTAAATGAGTTATGTAAAAAATAGCATGTGTGTACTGACGCTTGCAAAGGCTTTTATAAGAGAGAGGATCCACCATTATCGTTATTTTTATGATGTAATTTTAGGGAGTATCATAAATCTTCCTTAACAAAAAAAAGGGAGTATCATAAATCTTATTAGATACTTCATAAAAGGCATTTGTATTTTGACCGGTAATATTTATCTCCGTTATAAGAAATAAAATTAATTCAAAGACACTTATCTAAAATTTTACCAAAAACAGCAGAATCTATCAAAGCAAAACAGGTAACAAAATAAAATAAAAAAGCAAAAACAAATTTAGTAACTATAATCGATTTACTTGTGTTTAATCACCTACCTCATTAAGGAACACAATGGCATCATATATATGTATTGTTAAGGAAAGTCATATATATAATTACTCCAGTAATACACAAGTCGATTATATTAATCCCCACGCTCTGTATATACTGTACATACATATATATTATTGTATTCCTCTTACTCAATAATACACAAGTTCACAACCTTTACAAATATGAACTAATATATGGTCTTTGTTTGAAAATTATGTGACTATATATCGATTGACTTATATATCTATATCTGAATGTTTTCTCTTTTGCATGTATCATACAATCATTATCCTTATATATATGCGTTAATAAATTCTGACAAAATCGTCTTTGTTGACTTCAGATGTAAGCTCGGTCGAGTACGTTAGTTTCTTTTAGCCATTGCTCTCCATCTATGTAAGAAATGTCCAAGAACGAAGATGCTTCAGAATCTGTTAGTTGTTTCCCATATGAAACTCTTTCTTTGTAATTGGATCCTTCTCCATAGCAGTGATGCTCTCCAAAAGTCACTGTCCTGGAAAATAAAATGCATGAAGGACGTAAGCAAAATCTTTTTATATATAATTTTGAATTTTTTTTGTGTAGTCGGCTCACTTTTCTCTGGCCGGGTCACCCCAATCATTCCAACCTTGTGGAGTGATGATTCCGGACATGTAAGTGTTCGAGAACACGACTGTGGCATAGGCACCCCAAGCTCGTCCAAGCCACACTTTTCCACTTCCATCTATCTTACAGTTTATGAAAGAGAATCCTGTTTTCTCATCTTGTGATTGCCTTGCATGAGCCGTGATAGATCCGCTAATCCCTGATGTATCCTCTTTTGCTATCGAATTGATCGTACAATCCTGCTATTGAATATATATTGTTATGGTCTTGTTTTGGAATGATTATGTATGTTTTCTATATTTAGTAACCTCATAGAGTGATCTTCCATTGCCAAATATGAAATCTATGGACCCTTGGATGAAACAATCTTTGAAGAAATGTCTTCCTTTATCATCTAGAAGGGTGTCTTGAGACCCGTAAAATCCACATCCATAGAAAGCACCTTGGTCTCCTTCAATCCTTAGAGCTACTGCTTGTGCATCATCTTCACCAGGATCTGGTTCTGGCGCAGTGTTCTTCCACCATCAAAACACATACACATTTGAGAACTCAAGTCATCATTTACATTGTTACGATTGTGACTATCTTACCTTGAAGCTTATATTGTAAGCTGTGAAGCTATCTGCAAATACAGCAAACGAGAAGCTATAGGCAGTGCCTTCTGAAGATTTTGCTGTATCGTTCCATTCTATGGATGTGTTTTGATATCCTCTTCCTTGCATTACAATGTTTGTCTTGTTCACGTTAATTGTAACTTTTTCCCTGCTTGCTTACAATAAATTATCACTAAAAATATTTGATAGTACACAAGAAAATAGTATGGAATTATCAATAGAGAAAGAAGGTGAAGAACAAGAGCTTGAAGTTGAAGAGATGACCTATAAACACCCGAGTTGATAATAATAAAAGTCTTGGAAGGACTTAAATCAGGAACAGCATCAATGGCGCTTTGAACACTGGTGAAGTTACCACAACCGTGCAGATCAACAGTCAACACAAGAGAAGCCTTGTACAAGTGTGTAAGCCTTGATGTCCATTTCTCACAAGACTTTATTGGAATTTGATGGTGGTGTTTGTGTCCAAAGAATGTTGAATGTATTAATAATGCTCCGAGTTGAGAATTGGTTGTGATAGATGTAGCAATAGAAGAGAGAGAGGAAGGTAATATGATTGTGTAGAAAGAAAGAATGATGGAGAAGAGGGCTATGAGGGTGGTTAAAACCGGTTTGATGGCCATGGTTAAGATGACTGGGGATGGACACATGTTGGTTAGTATTTTTATATGTGCGAGACAGAGTGGAGTGTGAGTAAAGTGAAGGATATGGGCTTCCAAACATTTTTTATTCAATGAACCTTCCAATGACATTTCTGAATTAACAAACAATATCAAACGAAAATAATCATTTTTTTTCGATTTTCACAATGTTTTGTTTTGTATGGGTGCAAGAAATTCGAGCTGGTAATTTTTTTCTTCTTATCCAACGTCCATTATGCAAGACTTTTACGATGTTCAAAAACTATTGAATGATTCCAAATAAATAGTTGTTGGGAATATAAGAAAATAATTTTTAAACCGACAGGCGAACGAGTTGGGGTACGGTGAAATTGTACGCCAAGATGGCTAACGATGCTTAACAAATCCATTACGAAAGCAAGTATTATATTGCGTTGATTTATAGTGGTAAAGATAAAGACTTAACAAAAATATGATGAAAGCTAAGCAAAACGCAATTCCCGCTACTACTCCACATTTGGCATTGGTATGGTTTTATGAGAAGTACATAACCATTTGTTGAATCATTTACATTTTAAATACAATTTTCATTTTAATTTGACATCTCTTGAACTCTTAATTAACATCCTTAAGTATAAACCATTTCAGTGATAAATATTATACAGTTAATATTATTAATTTGAATTAAAAATTAGAAAGACTAGAAATTTTAATATGTTGTATTTGTATATCACTTTGTACCTTTCTAATATGTGGACAAGTTATAACACCAAAGAGAGACAAATTGATAATCCTCAGAACTCCTCCAACTTTCGTTTCCAAGTCGTGGTAATGTAAATGTTAAGAAAAGGTTGTGCAATGTCAATCCCTGCCTATATTGATTGAAAGGTCTATTGTCAGCAAAAATGTGAAACACCTACGAGAAGAAAAAAAAACACCTGCCTATATAGTATGACTGAGGAAAAAAAAACAATAAAAACTAACAGCGAGAGTTTACTCACGAAAAAGTTTAGTAAAAAAAAAAAGTTAAATTTTACTGTATCATGTTTTACCCTTTTTGTTGAGTAATTATTTAACATTCCGAGAGCAAAAGAAATGATCCTCAGAAGGAAGAAGAAATGTATACACCAAACATAATCCTTATACATACCAATATCAAATTTGGAGTTAGAGGTGGCAGCAGATAATTACTTGTTTTCATCAGAATTTTTTTTCAACTAGAATTTAATCACTAAACTAAAAAGTAAAATTTCTGCTAAGCCGGTGAAAAATCTTGAGTATATTCGCTACTCTAGTTGATATTTAAATTAGGAAACGACTCAGAGTTTCTTTTTTGGTCGAAGGAAGGACAGAGCCCCATTTTATTTAAATGTTAAAAGAACTACAAACGAACTTGACGTGGGATCGAAAACCCATTCAAGTCCTCGACTTTTTTTTTTTTTTTTTTTTTAACTCTAACTCTAATTTCTCGTTAGCTTTCTATTATTTTAATTAAATTATATTTCAACTTTTTAACTTGTAAACACATTATAATATTTTTAAATATGATAAATCCTTTGAATAAAAAGGTAAATATATACTATTTCAAGTTAAATATTTATTTACTCCATATTCAATATATTTTCCAACTTTTTGATAACTTTTAACCTCAAGTTATCACATACTTTATATTAATTAATTAATTTGTTTGTGTTTTTTTCTTACTTTAATTATTTTAAAATGTAAAGAAATATGAATAGTCATGTATTTAAATATATATTTTAAATATAATTTAATGTTTTTGTGCTGATGTGGACCCTCTAAATAGAGAGAGCAACTCCCTAATTATATATAAGATTATCAAATTGAAATATATCCTTTTGCTCCTTCTAATGTTGAAACGTAATATTAAGGTGATTATTTTAGGCTATAACATAACATTCTGAGGCTACAACCAGATTGAAAATTTGTAACACAAATATTTTTGGGATTAAGAGAGTCTTTAATGTATATACAACCATATATATATCTTTTAAAAGAATAGGTTTGCTATTAAATACAAAATGTTTGGTATTCAAATTAAACCACACTGGTATCAAATAAAGTAATCGCTTAAAGTACATGTTTTTGCGACATGCATGCACTTTTGAGTTTCATCGAACATGTGATTGTCAAACACCAAATTTGTATCGAGGGAGATGTGAGCACGAACATGATAGAAGTGTGTAAGCTTCCGAACGAGGAGAGATCAAAGTACATGACGTGAAGACATGTCGGCTCCATGACGGTACGGCACGAGTTTCAACCAGTGCAAAGACAATGTCTTTTGTTGGAGAGACTTCTTGAAGCTCTTTGCACATCATCTCCCTGGTTATCGATTTATGTCATATGGTTACAGAGAAAGTATATACAACCAGATTTTTTTTTTCTAAAGAACAGGTTTGCTATCAAATACAAACTGTTTGGTAATCAAATTAAAACCACACTGGTATCAAATAAAGTAATCGCTTAAAGTAACATGTTTTTTGCGACATGCATGCACTTTTGAGTTTCATCGAACATGTGATTGAGAATTGAGAAACACCAAATTCGTATAGTAATGGGCCTAATTTACTAATAGGCCACTCTAATAGGCCATTTCGAGATGAGAGCGGGACAATGCACATCATCTCGGAAATACCACAACAAAACAGGCCACTTTCAATGTGGGAAACCGTTTTTTTTGTGGGAAATCGCTTGTTGGGCTTAACCTGGCTCTGATACCATATTAGTAATGGGCCTAACTTACACCCAAAAGCTAGCTTATGAGTGAAGGATTGCTTCTTACTTTATATATTAGTGAAGAAAGGCTTCACTTTCAATATGGGACTTTCTCACTCTAATAGAGGAAGGTCAATTGCGAGAACACAGAACATATAACGGAGGTCTATACTCTATATTTTCATTAGCGCATAGAGGTCGAGTGCACCATTTGGTTTATTGAACTCACGTTTACCTTTGATTTTAATTGTGTTAACAAAATACTGAAAGATGTAATTAAAAATTGTCTTAAAGGTTATGTTTATGGAAATAATCTAAAAATATAGAAACGATTGATAAAAGGGGAAAATATCTATAGAAGATGAGAAGTGAGCAAGTAAAGGGAAATATGGATATATAATGATAATCACGTATGGTTATGTCAACAGGGTCAAACAAAATCCCAAAAGATGTAAATATAACGTCTCTAGCAGGATATGGAAAATAATAAGATATATAGAAACGGTTGACAAAAAGGTAATATACTGTATGAAATTGACAAAAAAAAAGTGACCAAATAAAGGAAAACAAATAAATGCAATAACTACTATACATATATTTTAGTCAATAAAATTAACATTTTGGCGATGGATTTTCTCCTTTATAATCTCCAATGCCTTTGCAAAGGGTGTTTGCACACAATCCTTCATATTGTGGCATAAGTCATAAGAAATTTTGATTGAGTCGGAGGAAAGAGCGAAGGATGATGGCTTGTAAGAGTTTGCTTATCGTTCTCATAATTGTCTCTCTCTTTGGTCTTCACAATTGTAAGAATTTTTTCCAAACTCTTTTTCATTTATTTTCTAATGCATATACATATAAATATATAATAGTCTACTTTTCACACTTTCAACAATCGGTCTAATATGATTTGAATTCAGATTAACGAATGATGTATGATATTTGCAGGTGAATTTGGGGTTCATCCGAAGGGGTATGAAAGGTGTGTTACCAAATTTATGGGAGAGCCGTGGCAGTTAGAGTTTTTGTGTTGTGTCGAAGCTCCTACAATTTGCTTCGCTGGATATCTTGAGGAAGCATGCCTCGTAAGGTGTCCTCCGCTACGAAAAGGAAAAGGAAGAGCAAAACCATCTCCCCCTCCGCTGCCAAAAGGAAAACGAGGTGCAAAACCATCTCCATCTCCCTCTCCCTCTCCCTCTTCCTCTCCCTCTCCATCTCCCTCTCCGCTGCGAAAAGGAAAAGGAGGAGCAAAACCGTGTCCCCCACCTCTTCTATAGATCTTTTTTCTTATAAGTTTTAGTACCATATATTCGAGCCATGACAAAGAAGTGGACTAATAATCCTTCTCTATAAATGGCCAGATATTATCGTATCGTTTTTAAATCGAACAATATGTTTTTATTTCTCTTTAGCTTTTAGTCTTTTCTCTCTTTAATCGAACAATCGTATTGTCTCTAGTCATTAATAAATACTGAGGGATGAATAACGGTCGAATTAGTGAATCATCTTTAATTGATACGTTAGATCTGTAAGAAGATTAGTGGGTTCACTTCTTTGATATTCTTATCAATTTCTATAAACCCTAATCACTTTAACATGACATGCAAAACTAATGGGTCCAAATTTGTCTTTCCTTAGGAAAATCTCACCACAATTTACCAGTCTCATTCTTTGATGTGTCCGTAAAACCGTGTAAGTTTCTTTAAAACAAAATATATTGATTAAAAAGAAATTTATTTCCGAAAAAAATAATAAAAAATGATTTTCTAAAAAAAAAAGAGAAAAAAAGCTAAACCCAATCGGGTTTCGACACGTGTCAAGCCTGTGTCAGAGAAACGTTTCTTTAAACTTTTGCTACAGATAATTTTTTGATTTTTTCTTTTTTTTGGCTAAAGAAACGGTCAGAGACTTACCGTTATATTTGCTCTTACAGATCATACTAGAGGGACGACTCACCCTGCAAGTCATATTTTTAGTATTAAATAAAGAACTTGCTAATTCATTTTACTAGAGATTGAAGCCCCACACAAGTGCAGGGTTGTTTGCAATGATTTAAATTATAATGACTTTATGTTGAAAATGTATTGCTTATGTTTTGAATTATTCCAACCACTTAAATTAGGATGTATTCAATTTGTTTGTTATTTTATTTTAAATTTTAAGATGTTATCTCCATACTTCATCTCGAGCTTTCTATTTTGTGAAACTTAGTATTATTTTAAAATTTTACTCTCTCCGTTTCATAATAAGTGTCATTTAAGCAAAATGAGAATTCAATGTATTTGGATGTATTAAACTCAACATAAAACTTATTATTGTCTAGATACATCCAATTATTATTCACATACATTTTCTCCAAATAACACTTATTATTAAAGAAATGGAGTATATTTCTTCATTGTTAGGGTTATTTACAATAATTTGGTCTTTATAAAATAAGATTTTTTTTTTAATCTATAGTGTTATTTATTTTCATCTTTATACTCATTTTACATATTTTCATCTTACAAAACTATTTATATACTGTTAACTCAAATGATGCAAATCAATGCAGTTACATTAAACATTTTAAATTGGACAAATAAAAGAACATGGCAACAACTATCTTTTCATGAGAAATACAATTTTATCTGATTAAATCAAAATTTAACAGCCGAAATTAATTAAAAATTAACAAGTGCTATTTTTTCTATTGATTTAGTTAATTTTTTTATTTGATATTTTATTTTTGGTCACTGATTTTTATGTTTGATTGAAATTGCAATTTATAGTAACAATTAATATCAATTGATATGTATTAAATGATTATTTTAATTATAATTTAATGTTTAAATTGATGATGTGGACACTCTAGATGAAGAGAAACTCCCTAATTATATATAAGATATGTCGTCATGAAATATCGTCTTTTTGTGCTTTACTTGTTTTGATATGTTTAATACAATAGAAACTCTATAAATTGATACTCTATAAATTAATAAATGGTTCTAAGTCAGGACAATGTAAAAATTAGTAAAATTCGATAAAGTAATAAGATAATAATATTTTTGAACCTCTTATGTAAATATATGGTCCAGTTAATATTATAAATTAATAATTACCATAAATAACTTTATGTAAATACATATCTATGATAATATAATAAAATATAAGTATAATTTTCATTTTTTTATTAGAACTCACATATATTCAGAATTCATCCCTAATTTTATAATGAACCTATATAAAACATAATCAACTTTTTTCTAAAAAATATTTTTATTTACTTGAATTTTATTTTAATTAATTAATAATAAAAATTATTTTATTCAAGATCGATAATTTAATAACTCTATAAATTAATAAAATATCAAAATTCCAACTTTATTAATTTATATAGAGTTTCTACTGTATATCTTTTTCTTACATCATTGCTTCGATTTCGTACACAAACGTTATTATTATTAACAAACATGGTTTAGAGTGTTGAGTTGTTGACTCCTCCATTCCGGCTGCGCAATCATTAAATTTTTTTGATTTAGGAAAAACATGAATCCAAAAATAATATTTTAAAATTATGTGTAATTTATTTAGGGTAAACAATTGTTTCACAAAATAATTTAGTTATTTTTGGAGAGAGAAAAAACTTACGAGTTTACTTTTTTTTTTTTGGTGAAGCACCGGGAGCAAAGCTCTCAGATTTTATTACTTAAGAAAAACTATTACACATAAACTTGCCGTGACTGCGCGACTCCACAAACGTCATCGCGCAACACTGTCGCTAAGTCAGGAGGAACTAAATCAAAAACATGCAAACCCGAAGGCAACGAAAACGCATAAGTGGCTAAACCATCCGCCAAATGATTAGCCTCCCTATACACATGCAAGAAACGGACTTCCCAGTCCTTCGATATGAAGCCGTGGCACAAGTGTACCAGGAAAGACAAGGGATGTGTATCTGAAATCCCTATCGTCAAGAACCCAACTACCATCAGTGAATCAATCTCCACCTCTAAACGCCGGACTTGCTTCTCCCAAGCAATACAAAGCTCATAGTACACACCCCACAACTCTGCCAACGGCGCTGTACAGCGCCCAATATTCAGAGCAAATCCACCACACCACTGCCCATTCCCATTTCGTAGCACTCCACCAGCTGTTGCCGCACCTGGGTTACCACGAGAAGCTCCATCAGTATCTAGCTTCATCCAACCCACCGATGGCGGACTCCATGAGATTAGTCGCTCCATCCAACTTACGAGTTTACTTTTGGAATACAAACTTTTTTGGTCCACTTTAAGGTAGAAATGGCATTCGATCCTTGGACCCTCCTCCTTCAACAACAAGTTAATATTGTATTTGTACGTATGTAATATCCACAGGGAAACAGTAGGTATAAAACGAACCAGAGATAGCCAAATTTAAGTAGTGTGACAAAGAAAAAATGTCATGCTACGATGAACCTTCTTCTGCTTTGTATAATTTCTCAACGATCCGTCTGAGTTAATATCTTCCGGAATGTCAACTATTTAGTTTTCTTCTGCATATAATATCCAACACCAGCATTTGGTACCACTGAAACAAGAAAGGAAGAAATAACAATATTACCAAGGCACATGATAATGATTTTATTGGAAACACACTAAGAACTAACAGGGGAAACATATGGCACACACGTGAAACAAAATTTAGGTTTCGCATAAAAAGAAGACTAATGTGACTCGGTACAGCAAGATCAAATATGCTCAGAAACACCCCAAAATGTTTGTACAAATCAGTGTGTGATCGCACAAGAAGGCAAAATTATTGAGAATGAGAAGATGGTATAAGCGAATAGGAGAAAGTTTACCAGGTCAAACAACTTTCGTAAAAGCTTCTACAACCCATCTGCTCATCCTGCTGGTAACCATAGGAAACCAATGAATTTTTTTATTTCTGTAGCTTAAGAAACTGACGTCGTTAATATAAGCCCGTTGTGATACGCCACTGGACCATATTAAGCTTTTCAGCCTATTAAATCAGTTTGAAGGCCCAAAACCACGTTTAGGAGCAAAGTTTGCCGATGAGATTAAATCATTGGATTACCTTTTTAACACTTTTAGGAATTTTCATTTATGGGTTAAAAGTTAAAACATCGGTTTAAAGTGATCCATATTTTATTTTATTTTATTAAAATATAAACCAAACTTTTATACTATTATATTTTATAATTTTAATTCCTTAGAAGCACAGATTTTTATTTTCACCGATAATAAATTCATATTATGTAGAAGAAAAGCAACAACTTCAACATTCAACTTCTCTCTTCTTCTTTTTTTTTACCATAAAACAAACTTCTCTTCTTAAAAGGAAAAAAGTCATCAAACAGTAGGACAACGACTAATATATTTTTGATATTAATTTTTTTTTAAATTCTAGAAACAACAACAAAAATATCTCTTTTTGTTTGTTTTAATGTTAAGAGACCTCGATCTCTCTCTCTCTCTCTCATGTTAGTGGTCCAGAAGAAAAAAAGTTAACGAATATTCCTTTTTGGATACGTCAGCATTATAATCGCGATAACATTAAAAAAATTATATAAGAGAAGGAAAATTAGAAATGAGTCGATGTCAAATTTTCTTCTTCGAAAGAACTAACATGAAATTAATTAATATATAGATACTTTTTAAATAATATATATATATAAGATTCTGTAAAATATCTATAAATTTATACATAGTTAGCAAGCTTAAAAAAAAAAAAATTATATCTGCAAGCAGACAATAAAAACAGATAATAGCAAAACCAAAAAAAGAGTACATGTTTTTATCTTAATAGATTCTAACCCAAAAAAAAAAAAAAAAAAAACAGGTAAGGTAGTAAGATGAGTGTTATGATCAAAGCTATGCAAGACACCATCTCATATGAATGACGTTTAAACTATATATATATATATATATATATATATATATGAAATAAAAGGTAAGCCCGTTAACAAAAAATATATATATATATATAGGTCAAAGAAAAAATTTCAGTAATATTTTTCTAAGGGTAATCTCACTTCAGAAAGAATTAAAATGGAAAGAGTCACTATCAAAGAAAAGAAAAGGAGACTGTCTGTTACAGTTTACACTTACAGTAACACTCAAGTGGTGGTCCAGCGTAGTCCTAGTAATACTCATCTTACTGATAGAAAAACTAATACTAATACTAATACTAATACTCATCTTACTGTCTTAGCTTCTTTTTTTTACTTGACAGACATTTTTCCATACCAAAAAAAAAAACTTTTGTAGGGGTAAGCAAACAGTAACCCGGTTTGGTTTGTATCTTAGACTAATAGAATTAGAAACTGAAACCAAATGAAATTATTTTGATTTCGGTTTAGTTACGGTTTGGTTTGATGCAATTTTGATTTCGTTTAATTGGTTTCATCATGCTACTAATCTCACAAAAGCATTGTTTTTATTAGGCTGGGACTTCGGACACCCTAACAGGTCGGGTCGGGTTTGTTCAGTTTTTGGATTGTCAAATTTAGGGTTATAAGCTCCATTCTTGTATTGATATTATTTTGGTTCAGTTCGGTTTCGCCAGGATTTAAGTCGGGTTCACAAAATTTATTTAATATAAATAATTTTTGGATAATTTTGCAAAAACATATATTTAATTTTGACATATATAACTAGGAGCGTTCAATAGCTACTTGTCAAAAACATATATTTAATTTTGACATATATAACTAGGAGGGTTCAATAGCTACTTGTCTTTAGTTTGGTTCGATTTGGATATTATCAGTTTCCATTTATCCAATTTAAAATTGAAAAAAAAATTATTTTGTTTCATATAATTTATTTACCATGGAATATTTTCATTGTCTATTGTAATCAATAAAACATTAAAATGGTTAAAATCAAAGGTAAACAAACTTAAATTTAGACTTTGATTGGTGACATATGGTATCATGTGGTAAGTTTGATTAATGGTCATAACTCAAAAGTGTTACCAATCATGATTTAATTTTAATTTTTAGCAGTTAGAATGTGGTATGGTTGAGTTAGAATTTTGATGTATCTCTTTTGTAAATTAGATAACTCAACTCAAATTTCTACAACATGGAAAATGGCATGTAATAAAGTGTGAAATAGCAGTTTTCTTTTTTTTTTCTTCTTTCCATGTTTTATTTAATTTTTTTTTTACATTTTTTTTGTTAATTCCACAGCAAACTTACCACCTCATTTTTACTTCAAACTTATCATTTTGTGATACCACATGTCATAAATCAAAGCCTGAAAATCAACAAAACTCTAAGGTTCCTAAAGGGAACAAAAATGATGATCTATTTGGATATACAATATAATAAAACTTATACTATATATATAATATTATAATTTTTTTGTATTTTATATACTATTATATTAAAATATAAAAGTTTTCGGATTTTACCATATCCAAATCAACGGTTTTCATAAAATTGCATAATACCATTTATTCAATATATCCAAATCCAAACTAATTAATATATTTCGGTTTGGTTTGATCCGTATTTCCAGATTAAACGTCTTTACATAACTAAGTATTTTTGGATATTTTGGGGTACCTAACTAACATATTTGGTTTACAATTGTAATTTTTGCTATTTTGATTATTTAACTCTAAATATAAATAATATTTGGGAATGTAAATATATTCAAGGTATTTCAAATATCCATTCCGGTTTTGGTTCGGGTTCGGTTACGGTGCGGTTAACATGCCTAGTTTCTTACAGTTTGGGAACAATTTATGTTTTCTATGATTTTCTAAACCAAAGTTAAGAGGTTTTATTTATTTGAGCAAAAATATGTGTGGTTTTTATTTATCTTATTAGATATAACAAACATGGTAATTAAAAATCAGATGAGTACTTCAAAGGCTAAAAGCATCATCAGGAATGCAACCCACTAACTCTGTGTGAAAGACGTTAGTGAGTCCAAAATTCTTAAATGCATAAACTCCAAAAACTATAGAAACTGTTACACTACCTAGTAATCGAAAATGGAAATGTGCCATAAGAGTTATAAAGAGAACATAAAGTTTCTGGGAAAGCAATGATTCATCAGGAACGTGACATCATAGGATAAAAACTAGGGGATAAACTCCATTTCAAAGAAATAAGTGAAACCCAAATGTAGTAATATTAGTTGTTATTAAAGAATATCAATAATTGTGTTCATACGAATGTTAGTGATCAGAGAGAGTACTATAAGGAACCTTCTCTTTCTCTCTCATATTCAAACGCTTTTCTTTTCATTGTTTCTTCACACCTGATTTCTTATTGATCATCTTCATCTTCATCATGTTCCTGTTCCTTTTCTTTCTTTCACTCATCTCTCCTATTAGTCCTTCCAATGGCAATGATTGTGAGCGTATGTCAAATTTCCCAAGCATAGGTTACTTAGTCTTCAAGGTATCACTTAAAGGCTGTGGAAATTTCAGTTCAATTCAAGAGGCAGTTGATGCAATTCCAGTATCAAACCAAACCAAAAAGCTCATCCTTGTAGACTCTGGTATCTATAGGTTAGTACTCTTCTACTCAACTCAATCATCTTTGGTCTTCTTAAAATTTTGATTTTCTTTGACAAAAACAGAGAAATTAATTTATTAGGGAGAGGGTTCTTGTTCATGAGAACAAGACCAATGTAGTGATGCAAGGGATGGGTTACAAAAACACATTGATAGAGTGGAACAATACAGCAGCTTCTTCCAATGGCACCTTCTCAAGCTTCTCTGTTTCCATACTTGGAGAAAATTTCAGAGCATACAATATTAGTTTCAAGGTATTAACAATTTTTCTGTGGTTTGATTATGTTAGTGAAAGTAGGAACCTAGCTCAGAGCTTATGGTTCTCTTGATGGTTGTTGATTTGTGGGAATGAGTTTGTAGTTTAGAAAGCTCTTTTGTGAAAACGATTCTTCTTTGTTATCAGGTTGTGAAAAAGATTGTGATCGTTTTGATTTTTTTTTTTTTTTGTGTTGTATAAAGCTTAGTACGTAGCTTTGTTATCAGGTTGTTTTGATTGTGTTATAAAACCAAAAACATAGCTTATGGTTCCCTTGATGGTTGTTTGATTTGTGGGACTGAGTTTGTAATTTAGAATCTCTTTTGTGAAAACGATTCTGCTTTGAGTTTGTAGTTTAGAAAGCTCTTTTGTGAAAACGATTCTGCTTTGTTATCAGGTTTTTTATTGTGTTATAAAACCAAAAACAGAGCTTATAGTTCCCTTGATACTTGTCTCATTTGTGAACTTTCGGTTGTGAAAAAGGTTGTGATCGGTTTGATTTTTTTTTGTGTTGTATAAAGCTTAGTACGTAGCTTTGTTATCAGGTTGTTTTGATTGTGTTATAAAACCAAAAACATAGCTTATGGTTCCCTTGATGGTTGTTTGATTTGTGGGACTGAGTTTGTAATTTAGAATCTCTTTTGTGAAAACGATTCTGCTTTGAGTTTGTAGTTTAGAAAGCTCTTTTGTGAAAACGATTCTGCTTTGTTTTCAGGTTGTTTGATTGTGTTATGAAACCAAAAACAGAGCTTATTGTTCCCTTTATACTTGTCTCATTTGTGGACTTTCGGTTGTGATCAGTTTGATATATTTTGTGTTGTATAAAACTTAGTACGTATCTTAGTGTTTCATTGACTTGTTGGTTTTATTTCGTTGGTGCTGGTGTAAGAACACCGCTCCGGCACCAGCTCCTGGTGCAGTGGGTCAACAGGCTGTTGCTCTAGCGGTTGTAGGAGACAAGGCGGCTTTCTACGGCTGTGGCTTCTATGGGAATCAAGACACCCTTCTTGACCAACAAGGAAGGCATTTCTACAAAGACTGCTTCATTGAAGGATCCATCGACTTCATTTTTGGTGATGCAAGGTCACTTTACCAGGTACACTACTATGTCTTTCTTAATTTAGAGCACACTAAAGCTTTATAGTTATACATAGATTAACATTTTGAAAATGAAACAACAGGATTGCACAATCCACTCAGTTGCAAAGGAGAATACATTGGGATGTATCACAGCTAGGGGTGTTTTGGTGGGTGTTCATATCCAGCCCAATTATAAACCAAGTAACCCAACCCACAATAATACCCAACCCATAATATACCCAAACAAAATTTATTATATGGGCTGGGTTTTTACCCACATGGGTAATCCAGATGGGTTCATGGCAGCCCAAAACTAATTTAGTTGCTTAATAAATATAATTTTTTTTGTTGCTTAATTCAAATCTAATTTTTTCGAAAATAAATATAAAATCTTAAACATAATGTGAATCAAACTAAATTAAACTTTAACTTTAACATTCAAAATTAAACAATCCAAAACTTTTATAAAACATAATGTTACCAAAGTTGTCAAGTTCTCTTTGAAACATAACAACAATTCCTGCAACAAAATAAGAAAAGTTTCTAAGAAAATGAGACTTGAAGTTACAAAACAACATCAGAAGATTTAAGGAGAACTATCCATTAATCAAACAAATTGCGGCATGCATACTTGCAAAGGAAAACACTTTGAAAAAATCAGGAACATTCAGATAACCTAGACAAAGCACAAAAATTGACTCAACAAAACCTCATAGTTCTGAGACAGTATACCATTCGATTTGAACTAAACCTTAGAGATAGCATTCATCAGACTGATAACAAAATCAAAGGGAATATATACGTACAAGACTTATCTGATTCCAAAAGAAAAAAAAATCATAAAGGTTGAAGCTTTAAGGTTCCCAACCAGAAAAAAAAAAAAACACTAAGGGTTGAAGATAATATACAAACTTACAAAATCGGCAAATTTCTTCTCCGTGACCCATATCGACTTTAGGACTCACCTCACACACTTGAGCTGCTTGCAACATTTGTAGAACCCTCTTTTTCTTCATCAAAGTAATCATCAATGTCACCTGAATTTTGAAAATGTAAATTATGGGTTTTCAATGCACTATGCAGCCATGAAACAATAGAAAAAAAAGTATTCACTTACCATCAAAATCTGCAAATCCCCTTAACCAGTTCCGGGTACAAAGCAACGCCTGAACCGTTGCGGGAAGGAGACGGCTCCTGTACGGGTTCAAAACCCTACCTCCCACACTGAAAGCCGATTCTGCTGCGACTGTGGTTATAGGAATACTCAGCAAATCAGAAGCAAGGGCAGTAAGATCACCATGACGATTCCCGCTGTTCTTCCAATATGTTAGGACTTCTATGTCTGCAAAAGCTCCAAACTCTAGCCTAGGCTCTTCCAAATACAGGTCCAAACTCGACTTTGTCATGTTTGAATCAAGATTTGCACTTCTCTCAAGTTCAAAGAAGTCCTGCATTCATTAGATAATCTGAATCAATATCATTCAAACGTGTTCCACACTTAATGTTATGCAAACACAAATAAACAGAGACATTGATACCACAACGCAGAGCAAAAATGACAAGTAAGAAATGACAAGTAACAAGAATCAGAAATGAAAGAATTCAATGAAAAAACAGAAACTTACAAGATCTAGATCGTCTTCTAAAGGTGACTCAGTAAGAAGTTCCAGTGGAGTTAGTGTTGTTGAACTGGTTGAAGAAGTCCAAGGCTTGGTCTTATATTCTTCATAAAGCAACTTCAAGTTTTTCTTAACCAGCTCAACTTTTTTCGCAGAAGTACTCGGATCCAGTTTGTCATAAGCTTGTTGGAGTATTTGAGTCTTGAACCTTGGATCTAAGACAGCTGCCATTGCTAAAACGACACTATATTCATCCCAATACTTAGCAAACTTGTTTTTCATCTTCAAAGCCATTAACCTCACATCAATATCATCACAAACTGAAAATTTCTTTAGCAGCAATTCTATCTTCCACACCTGCATGAAGTAAATATTGGCTGTAGGATACTTCACGCCTGAAAAGTAAGTGGTGATGGTGTTAAAAGGTTTCAACAGATCACGGATCTTCTCTCCACGCTCCCATTCAGCCTCTGAAGGAAGTGTCTTGTAGTTCCTATCACACAGTTGCACACTTATAAATGCCTTACGATACTTTAAAGCTCTGGCAAGCATAAGATATGTTGAATTCCAGCGAGTAGGAACATCTAAAGACAACCCAGCCTTCATATCTATCTTTAAACTCTTACTATAAGCTGCAAACGAATCTATCCTTGCTCCAGATGCTTTCACAAACTTTACACTGTTTCTGATATTCTCCAAAAGATCACCAATCAGAAGCAATCCTTCCTTCACTATAAGATTCAATATATGAGCAGAGCATCTCACATGTAAAAACTTTCCATCGCAGGGCAATCTATTAGCCAATGTAAGACGATTCTTAAGAATACCAAGCATGCTAGTATTACTGGTAGCATTATCCAGGGTGAACGAGAAAACTTTCTGCTCTAAACCCCACTCCTTCAAACAATCCAAAACTTTTGTAGCTATTTCCTCACCAGTATGTGGAGCTTCAAACTCACAGAAAGCTAAAATTTTGTTGTGCAATCTCCAGCTATCATCAACGAAGTGAGCAGTCAAGCAGATATAACTCCTCATTGTTGTTCTAGCTGACCACATATCAGATGTAAAACACACTCTACCTTTGTGATTAGCAAAAATCTTTCTCAACTTAACCTTTTCCAGCTCAAATCTCTTAAGAACATCTGCCCCAGCTGTCTGTCTACAGATATGGTGACAATCCGGATTCAAGTATATGTCCCTAGCTCTTACTTTCTCATATTCCACATACTTGAAAGGCAGATCATGATAGATTATAATTTCATTAATCATATCACGATCTACCTTTGGATCATACTTCCTAGCAACTTCACTCTTTTCACCTCTCATTGGACAAACTTCTAAATGACGTGTAACAGCAGATGTTCCTTGACTAATCTCTATACAGAATTTCTTCTGGCAATGCATGCAACGACCCATTTTCTTTCCATCTTCCCTATCACCTACTGGTATATACTCTTTCCAAACATCAGCCTTTAAGCGTTTGTTAGATTGAAATACCGTGAGAGTCGGTTGAGTTGATTGAGTTCTAGTCTCACTTTCTGCTGCTTCTTGATTTTCTGCTTCACTCTCCTCAATGATCTCATCAGTTTCTCTTTGTTCATCCTCAGCTTCAAGATGTGCTAGATATCGTATGGTCTGTGAATCCATTCTGAAAACATAACAAAAAAAAGTCTTATGTGAAAACTGAAAACATAAAAGAATGTTTCTTCTAGACAAACAGTTTAACTTGTTATAAAGAAAGAAAATAAACAATTAAAAGGACTCACTTCTTCTCGCTCTATGTATCCAGTTTGCCGTAAATCACACAGTTTCTCAGTTGTCCGAGAAGAGTTTCTTAACTACAAGTTTGCTAGAGAATGAAGAACAACGAGGTTGCTGATACGATTCCTCTTAACATCACTCCGGCAAATGAGAACTTTTTCGAAGATTCCTCTTCTTTATCTGCATATGAAAGAGGACCACTCATTCGTTAATCACAAAAAAAATCAAACTAGACTCTTTGATAGTAAGAAAGCAGAAGAACAGTTTATCACATTAAATCAAATCATATTCAATGGAAGTTGATTTAGAACAGTTTCTGCATAATAGCGTTAGAACCTAAATCACTAGAACAACACTCAATTACTTAACCAGATAAGCAATGAATTATAAGTGCTAATAAACGCATAAGATAGTGAAAATGCAGGTGAAACTATGAGAAGATAAAACATACCTCCCATATCAGAAGCCATTAAAACTCCATCGTTGTACTTGATTGCAACAACTGAAGTTCCAGTAACATACGGGTACCTAACAAAAACATAAAACCCTGAAATCAAAAACTGAAATCGCAATTTTCACTGAATCGAGAAGTCTCGGGAGTTAAGGACCAAAGAAAAGAGTTTTTTACAGTGTTCTTTGTGAATCAGCTTCTGCGTTCTTCACGGCATCTCTGAGACAAAACCCATGAGTTGAATTAAGAAATTACCAAGGAGATACGATGTTGGAGAAGAGAAAGCAATGTTGATTTGGGGATTTTCGGAATTTTTTAGGGTTCGCGATGTTGGAGAAGAGAAAACTCGATTTGGGATTTTCCCTTTACATAAAACAACGTCGTTTAACAAGATTCTAAAAAAAACAAAAAACCATGGGAAACCCATGATCAACCCACGTAAGTCCACATGCAAAAATACCCACCCATCAACAACCCACTCTTTTTTTATTGGATATTAAAAGCATACCAAACAACTTGGTCTGGGTAAACCCATTGGGTAATACCCACCAAAACACCCCTAATCACAGCAAATGGAAAGGACTCAGCAACTAGTGGAACAGGATTTGTATTTGTCAACTGTGTGATCAAAGGAAGCAGCAAAGCTTGGCTGGGTCGTGCATGGAGGCCATATGCTAGAGTTGTCTTCTCCAGAACCTACATGTCAAGAGTGGTTTCCCCTGATACTTGGAATGACATGGGAGATCAGATGAGACTATTGAGATATGGAATTTGATTATCTTATTGATGTCTAATGCTCTGTTTATATACAGAGTATGAGCTTGCTCTACAAGGAGAATAAGAATATACGAAAGTAATTACACATTAACTCATAGGATCAATTGGTGATTTGACTTGATCGTATAAGTTGGAGTTTCCATATTCTAACACACCCCCTCAAGATGGACGGCCTTTGGAGAGTCCGATCTTGACCGAGAGGGTTTGGAACCGCGATCGTGGAAGTGGTTTTGTGAGCGCGTCGGCGAGCTGATCAGCGGATGTAACATGAGTGACGCGGAGCTGACCACTTTGCACAAATTGTCGGACAAAATGGAAGTCCAAAGCAATATGTTTCATTCTGGAGTGGAAGACAGGATTGGCGGCAAGGTAAGTGGTGCCAATATTATCACAGTAGATCACAGGTTTGGAGCTGCTTGATAGACCAAGTTCAGAGAGAAGTGATGAGATCCAGCATATCTCCGACGTGGATGCTGCTAGCGCTCGATATTCAGCTTCGGTTGATGATCTAGCTACCCCTGTTTGTTTCTTTGAGGACCAAGCAACAGGATGACTTCCGAGATAAACAACATAAACACTAGTAGAAGTGTAGTCATCTTTATTTCCCGCCCAATCTGCATCGGTAAATGCATGAAGATCAGGTTTGTTGTTGGCATGAAGAAAGATATCATGGCTTTTGGTCCCGGAGAGATAACGCAACACACGCTTCACGGCTTTCCAATGCTCATTTGTAGGGCGATGCATGAACTGAGCTAGTTTGTTGACTGAGAAAAAGATATCTGGTCTTGTAAGTGACAGGTATTGGAGGCTTCCCACCACCATACGGTACTCTGTGGCGTCATCTAATGCTGTTCCCGAGAGTAACGTAAGTGACAAGCTAGCTTCCATTGGTGTGGTTACGGCCTTTGCATTTGTCATGTTCAGCTTATGGAGTAAATCTGCAATATAACGATGTTGGAATAAGTGAAGACCATTCTGAGTTCTAGTAACCTCAATGCCTAAAAAATAAGAGAGAGTGCCCAAATCTTTAAGAGAAAAACGTTGAGAGAGAGAAGCGATAAACCGGGAAATGTGAGGTGGACTGTTTCCAGTGATGATGATGTCGTCAACATAGACAAGCATGTAGAGAAGGATTCCATTTTTGTTATAAATGAATAGGGAGGCATCCGCAACCGAGTTCGTGAAACCAGCTTGTAAGAGAAAAGTCCGCAGCTCATTGTACCATGCCCTCGGTGCTTGCTTGAGACCATATATTGCTTTGTTGAGTTTGCATACAGCGTCGGGATTGTCTTTATCTCTGAATCCAGTGGGTTGTTTCATGTAGACTTCATCCTCAAGCCGTCCTTGTAAAAATGCATTGTTCACATCAAACTGTTGTAGAGGCCAATTGCGAGACACGGCTGTACTAAGCACGATCCTGATGGTCGCCGGTTTGACAACGGGGCTGAAGGTTTCATGATAGTCAATACCAGGTCGTTGATTATAGCCTTTAGCTACGATTCGTGCCTTGTACCGCTCAACCGAGCCATCGGGTTTACGTTTGATCGTAAATATCCACATGTTACCTACAATATTGTCAACATCAATATTACGAACAAGATGCCAAGTATGATTACGAATATGTGAATTAATTTCGTCAATCATAGCTTTGCGCCAAAGAGGATTTTTAAGAGCTTCAGCTACTGTCGCCGGGATAGTATCCGTCAAGTGTGACACAGTGGTATGGAGGTTCAGTTTTTGAACTGGTTTTCTTGTTCTGTTACTCGTGCGTGTTGGTGCTGGTGCAGGAGGAGGCGGAGATGGAGATGGAGCTGGCAGAGGCGGAGATGGAGATGGAGATGGAACTGGCATAGGCGGAGAGGGAGCTGGTGTAGGATCAGTGTTTCCCGAATCCGATGACGACGTATTTGACGTCGTAGAATTCTCAGAAACAGAGGTACTCTGTTCTGACGGGGTTGTGACGGTAGTAGGTTCTTCTGCGTTTGATGAGGATGGAGCTTCTGTGGACGTAGTCACAGCGGCGATGGTGTCTGGGGGTGGTGTTGGTCCAAGCGGTGGAGGAGAGATAATTGTGACAGGGGGAAACGTCGCTGGTGCATATTCGGTGATGTTTTCCGATGAAGAGGTGTCTGCGATCTGAATTGGTGTTGGAGTTGCAAAAGGAAAAACAGACTCGTGAAAGACAACATGTCTCGATGTGTATACTTTTGATGTTGATCTATCTAAACAAAGATAAGCACTTTGCGTAATCGAATATCCAAAAAACACACATGGTGTTGAACGAGCATCTAATTTGTGAGTTGCATATCGTTTTAACCATGGAAAACATAAACACCCGTAACTTTTGAAAGTTTGGTGGTGTACCGTATAAACTTTGAAAAGGGTTTTGAAAATTCAATGTAGGGGTAAGCATACGATTGATAAGATAAACCACCGTACCAAAGGCATATGTCCAGTAGGACCGCGGCATCGATGCATGAGACATAAGGGCTAAACCCGTTTCGACTATATGTCGATGACGTCTCTCTGCAATACCATTATGTTCTGGTGTATGAGGCGGACTAGTCATATGTGAGATACCTTGGCTCGAGAGAAAAGTTCTGAGACTAATGTACTCACCCCATTGTCCGTATATAACGTTCGTAGTTTGAGTGAAAATCGGTTTTCCACCAAACTTTTGAATGTTTGAAAAATAGTAAAAACCTGAGAGTTTTGTTTTAAAGGGTACATCCATGTGTACCTAGTAAAATGATCAACAAAAATAACATAGTATTTAAAACCATCGATGGAAATAATGGGTGATGTCCAAACATCAGAAAATACAATATCAAGAGGTTGAGAAGATTGCAGCGTTGAAATACTGAAAGATAACTTATGCATTTTATTGATAGAGCAAACAGTGCATGGCTGAGCCATCAAAACATTAGAAGAAAGAGGTAACTGAAATTGAGAAATTGTCTTATGAAGTACAGCTAAAGCGGGATGCCCTAAACGGGAATGCCAATCAGTTAAACTAGTTTTAACCGTGGATGCAAATGCAAGAGATGGAGATTTTAAAGATGATGTTTTTGGCCACTCATATGTACCATCTTTAGGCTTGCCTTCCAGACAAAGAGCCCCCGTTTCCAAATCCCTGACCTGAAAATACGTAGGTGTAAATGTGACCGCAACATCATTAGTCTTACATAGTTGAAAAACTGATATAAGATTTTTGTCAAGAGACGGTACACATAGAACATTATTTATGAAAAAGGGACGAATATAAGATGGGATAGAAAAAGAACCAGAGTGTGTTATTGGTAATGCTGATCCATCACCAAGAACACATCGTCACCACCATTGTATGGATTGTGAACAGCCAGGTTACGCAAATCGGATGTCATGTGATGGGATGCACCCGAGTCTACCAGCCACGTGGTCGGATCGGACAGCATCACTACATTGGCACGTGGTTGCCACGGTTGCAGGTTTTGTGGCTGTTGCCATTGCTGGTAAGGAGGCGCAAGTTGCTGGTATTGAGGCATCATTGAGGGCTGAGAAGAGCCTCGGACTAAGCGGAAAACAGGACAATATTTCGCACTGTGTCCGACATCACCACATGCTTGACATCGACCTTGATAGGGTTTGGAGAACTTGTTCTGGTTGGAGTTGTTGCCATTGAATCGAGGCTGTGAAGAGTAGTGGCTGTTGTTGCGATTTTGGCTGTTGTTGTTGTTGCGGTTCTGCTGGCGAGGACGAGAGTCCGTAGCGTTGGCTACAATCGGACCAGACGATGGTGTTTCGTTGCAGAGAAGCATAGCTTCACGGTTAAGCAACCGCTCGTATAGTTCCGTGTAAGAGATCGGAGTGTCACGTCCGTTGATGGCGTCGATCTCTGGTTTGTATTCTTCACCAAGGCCGGCAAGAATTTGTTCTGTCAAGTCGTCTTGATCCATCGATTTGCCAAGGAGCGAGAGATCATCAGATTTGGCTTTGATGGTGCGTAAATAGTCGGCAATAGATTTGGTGCCTTTCACACACGTTTTAATCTGATGTTTGAGTTGACGGATGTGGCCCTGAGTAGGATTACCCAGCGCAGCAGCAAGTGTGTCCCAGATTTCCTTTGATGTCGTTGCTGTGGAGACAAGTGATTGAGCCGATGGAGAAATGGCTCCAATCATTGCACTGTAGAGAAGGCGATCTTGTCGTCTCCACGGAGCATACGCCGGATTTGGGGCAGCAGCACCATTGACTTGAATAGTGGATGCCGGAGCTTGGGCTGAGTCGTCAATGAACTGTTGTAGTTCATGACCCTCAAGTAAGGCAAGAACTTGTCGTTGCCACATGAGGTAATTCTGAGTCGTGAGTTTTGTAACACTCACCATATTGACAGTTAATAGTGTACTTTGCGGACCTTGAGCATTGAACACAGCAGTTCGCTCAGCCGTAGATTCACTCATGGTTTTGAGAGAAACCGTGAAGGAGGGTGGAAACAATTAAGGAACAGAAGAAACGTAAAGTGATAAGGAACCAGAAAGAGGAAAGAAATAAGACAGAGTAAGAAGAAGAAGAGAAAAAGAGGGAGAGGAAGGAGGCGGATCGGAAAAAAAATAGGTTAAATCCTATTGTGCTCTGATATCATATTGAGATATGGAACTTGATTATCTTATTGATGTCTAATGCTCTGTTTATATACAGAGTATGAGCTTGCTCTACAAGGAGAATAAGAATATACGAAAGTAATTACACATTAACTCATAGGATCAATTGGTAATTTGACTTGATCGTATGAGTTGGAGTTTCCATATTCTAACAGAGACAAAGGACAGTGTATTATGGAGAACATCGGTGCTATGGACCAGGAGCCAATCCCAGTCAAAGGGCTCCTTATGCAAAGCAGCTCAGCGATGTGGAAGCGGCTCCCTTCATCAACATCTCCTTCATTGACGGTGAGGAATGGCTCTAGTCGTGTGGGAGAATATTTAGGGTTAAACCAAAGCAAACAAATCTTATAAATAAGATATTATTCGATTAAGATTGTTGCCCCAATTAAAATGATCAAACGTGATTATCATTACATATATTGTTCCTTTATTTAGTCACTTCTACATATATATTTCCCCTGTTTTATTAATCGTTTATATATTCTCATTACACGAGAATTAGGTCAATGTTCTTATGTTCCATGGTACTTGTTCTGTTTCTGTTTCTACCAAATCTCACGCCAACATAGGCCAAAAAAGGGTATTAAACATGTTTCATATAATCTCTGTATTAATCGAACAAGATCATGTATGAAATATATTTGAAAATCATATATCTTATCTCTCAATTATATAGTCTTACAGTAGATGCTTTTCTTTTTGGGATGTTTTGAAGATTATTTGGTAACCAATTGAATTTGGTGTTAAGGAGTTTAGTTTCTCATAAATCTAAAGGACAAATGTTTATGAACATAAAAGGACAAGTGTTAAACCACTTGTCATGCTTAGAAATATTAATTTGGTGTTAAGGAGTTTAGTTTCTCATAAATATAAAGGACAAGTGTTTATGAACATAAAAGGACAAGTGTTAATGTTAAACCACTTGTCATGCTTAGGAAAAATGTTTAAAGATCATATGGATTTAAGTAGAGTGTTCATGTATATTAGTTTTGCATGTCATGTTAAAGTGATTAGGGTTTATAGAAACTATGAACCCACTAATCTTACAAATCCAACGTATCAATTAAAGATGATTCACTAATTCGACAGTTATTCATCCCTCAATATTTATTAATGACTAGAGACTATAGTTATAAAAGACTAAAAGCTAAAGAGAAATAAAACATAGTGCTCGATTAAAAAACAATACGATAATATCTGGCCATTTATAGAGAAGGATTATTAGTCCACTTCTTTGTCATGGCTCGAATATATGGTACTAAAACTTATAAGAAAAAAGATCTATAGAAGAGGTGGGGGACACGGTTTTGCTCCTCCTTTTCCTTTTCGCAGCGGAGAGGGAGATGGAGAGGGAGAGGAAGAGGGAGAGGGAGAGGGAGATGGAGATGGTTTTGCACCTCGTTTTCCTTTTAGGAGCGGAGGGGGAGATGGTTTTGCTCTTCCTTTTCCTTTTCGTAGCGGAGGACACCTTACGAGGCATGCTTCCTCAAGATATCCAGCGAAGCAAATTGTAGGAGCTTCGACACAACACAAAAACTCTAACTGCCACGGCTCTCCCATAAATTTGGTAACACACCTTTCATACCCCTTCGGATGAACCCCAAATTCACCTGCAAATATCATACATCATTCGTTAATCTGAATTCAAATCATATTAGACCGATTGTTTTAAGTGTGAAAAGTAGACTATTATATGTATAGATATGCAGTAGAAAATAAATGAAAAAGAGATTGGAAAAAATTCTTACAATTGTGAAGACCAAAGAGAGAGACAATTAGGAGAACGATAAGCAAACTCTTACAAGCCATCATCCTTCGCTCTTTCCTCCGACTCAATCAAAATTTCTTAGGCTCTAACTGATAACATGTAAAGGAACAAAAGGAACGAGAAGGAATGGAATGAAGAGAAATAAAATATATGGAACTCATTCTTCCTCATATTTTATAAGAAATATTTTAACACTATTATTTTCTAATTAATATGGAATGATAAGGAATAATATGGAATACACATTCCTTATAAATGGTGTAATTTTTAAGGAATGAAGGGGAATTGTCTTATTCTCCCCTCATTTATTGGTCACTCCCCTCATTTATTGGTCACCAGTTACATCCTTATGACTTATGCCACAATATGAAGGATTGTTGCAAAGGCGTCGGAGATTATAAAGGCAAAAATCCATCGCCAAAATGTTAATTTTATACTAAAATATATGTAGTTATTGCATTTATTTGTTTTCCTTTATTTGGTCACTTTTTTTTGTCAATTTCATACAGTATATTACCTTTTTGTCAACCATTTCTATATTTTTTTTATTATTTTCCATATCTGCTAGAGAAGTTTTATTTACATCTTTTGGGATTTTGTTTGACCCTGTTGACATAACCATACGTGATTATCATTATATATACATATTTCCCTTTACTTGCTCACTTCTTATCTTCTATAGATATTTTCTTCTCTTATCAATCGTTTCTATATTTTTACATTATTTCCATAAACATAACCTTCAAGACAAGTTTTAATTACATCATACTAGTATTTGCAAAGTCAGAATTTCGAATAGAGCCACCACGTTAACTCTCAGCCGCGGAATTACCGAGATACCCTTAATGAAAATCTATTATTAAATCTTCAAATTTTTCTTTTTTTATTAAAAAGGAATTTGATTATTGACTTAAATATTTTTAGATAAAAAGGCTAACTACCATATTCCACGCCATATTTTTGGAAGAAATTATAAATTTTAGAAAGATAAATAAAAAGTAAACCCTAAGATTCTTAACCACCATGTCTTATATAAATAGATACGAACAAGGAAAATCAACACAATTCTCATTACGATTTACAATTCCTCTTTCTATACGTAATTTTAGTTCTTAGATCTCATATTTCTTCTTTTCATGTATCTTAATTGTTTTAGTTTGATCTTAGTTCTATTAAATCTATTTATGAACTGATTATTTGTTATCTTCTGTCAATATCATCTATTGATCCGCTTCTAACTTCTTCCTCTCTCACTTTTGTAACAGAAAATTCATTATTTGTAAGCTGATGGAATCGAGAAGTTCAGATATGGTCCCAAGCCAGAAATATTCTTCCCAAAAATAAAGGGTATGAACATCTTTTCTTTTATATATCAACTTAATATTCATGAAACCCTAATTCTAATGACGAGATTATAACGTTTTTTGTTTTTTTCCAGTATCCAAATTATTCGTTTCATAACGTTTTTTTATTTTGATGTTGACGTGAACCCTTTCTCTTCACCGCAACCACAAAACTATGTTGTTGTCTTCGCCTTCACTGGTGAATTTTAAATCTTAATTTGTATTTAATTTTATTCGAATGGGTTTTGTGTGTTTGTGTCTCTTATGTGCAGTGTTCAAATATTCATATGTTTCATGGATTTTCATGAGTTTTGTGTGTTTGTGTGTTTGTGTGGCTTGACTATATATATGTATTACTAGAGGCTTTGCGGCTTCATATGAAAGTACAGAAACAGCTTTACAAGCAGCTGGAGGTATGTCTTATCTATATACATAAAGACGTTCCCTATAGCTTTGGTTTTTATGTCTTTGTTTAAGCTTTTGGATTCATGAAGCTGCAAATAGTAGAAATAGTGAAAGTGAATCTAAAGCGATACTGATTTGTACTCTAGCAACAATTCGCCATCAATTTAATCTCTTCTTCTCATTATGGCTTTACCACTTACTATCTTACTTAGTCATGAGTTGGGGGTTTTTCTTGTAACATCCCGGTTTGTGATAAATGAGAGGCTTAAGAGAATTGATTTGGCTACCTATGTCAACAAAGTGAACTTACCTTTTCGGTCAAAGGTCTATAAGTAACTCCAGAGTTAAGCGTGCTTAGGCTGGAGTAGTTGAAGGATGGGTGACCTTCCGGGAACAGGTTTCCGAAATCGTGTGAGGGAGGCCAAAACACGGGGAAAGGTCGGGTGTTGATTGCAGGGATAGTAGACAAGTCATTAGAGCCTCTCAAAAATAACGGACCGGCCGTCAGACAGGGGTGAGGCCCACGGGCCGAGATGGGCCTGCGGGTCCAGAGAGAGGGCGTGGGTGACTCACCGGGAGGAGCGGTCGGGGCGTTATATTTCTATTAATTGATTGTTATTTGAAGTAGTACGTAGAATTTCTGATTACATGTTTGGTACTCTAAGGGATAAATTGAAAGATTTTGCAGATTGTGTGGGTGCTACAAAGGTCTGCTCAACAAGATTTCGGTGGAGGGATATGGCACTTGCCTTGCTGCGGATGATTTCATATATTTTGGGAAGAAATGCACTTAGTGGAAGTGACATGGAGGATGGAATGTATTTGTTAAGGCTTTACCAAAAGAAATTTGTGAGTTTGCTTCTCGGAAAGTCACACACTCCCGAGGGTAAAGAGATGCTTTTACTTTTTTTTGTTTGCTGAAATTTGGTATCTATAAGATTTTATTCGCTTTGATAGTTTTGAAGAATATTGTGGACTCAACTGGTAGACTTTCATCATTATGTCTAATGTCTCAGGTAGAATAAACAACACTTCAAAGTTCTTCATGTAGATGAAGCTAAGAGTTCTCTTCCCTACTTCTTGGTACATCAACGAAAAGAACCCACCCACCACAGCTGAAATATGGATCTAAAAAGAGTGTTTCTGATGTTCGACAGGAAGAGAGACAGACACATTACAAATGAAGAGCTAAACGATTCCTTAGAGAATCTAGGAATCTTCATGCCAGATCTAATTCAGATGATCGAAAAGATGGATGTGTAGACATAAACGAGTTTGAGTCTCTATACTGTTCGATTGTAGAAGAAACAGAGGAAGAAGATATGAGAGATGCCAATGTGTTTCTCTGTTAACATGTCTTTGTTTGGTCGATTTTACCGCCGATCACCACCTCATGATTTTTTTTTCGGTTTAGATTTACTACCTCTTAAAATCACTTAAAATTTGTTCTTTATTATTTTCTTTTGTTAAATCCTTAAATTTTTACTACGTTTATATCATTAGTTTTTAAACTATGGATCTTTTTAGTAGCTGTTGAGAAGAAACAATGACACTACCATCAATCAGGTTTTCAACAACATGTACCACACATTCTGTAGAACACATGGATATGTAAAGATTTAGGGTATAAAAAAGAAATACAAATGGACGGGTCAGTCATGATTTTTAGGGTATACGCATCCGAATAAAAATTTGAAGTGATGGATATGATTTCATCTTCTCCACCCCAATGTTAAGTTCCATAGACACCATCACGTTATATGAACATGGGGAGTAAGAAAAAAAGAATAAAAATCGAAAGAAAAATATAAAGAAAATGAGAAGAATAAAGCATATGAAGATACTAGAGTAGATATACATTAATAAAAGAGGAAAAGAAGAGCAAAATACAAGAATAAGAAGATGATAAATTGAAAGGTAAGAAGAAGAAAAAAAAACACAGCGTATTGGTGTTTGATATGATACTTAATATGTTATGGTGCTTCGAGATATATTATTATTTATTGTTTAATTTTAATGTTCTTGATATGTTGTCATATGTTGTCATACTCTGAAAAAAAATGGTGCTTTGGTGTTTAAAGATTTATTTATAATCATATATTATGCGCCACGGAGTCACAATCTATAACAATAAAAATAATATATTATTCATTTTTTCTTTATAGATCTAACACTAACATTACTGATTTAAAATAAAAACAACGATAACTTCTTTCAAGAAAACAAAAACAATAAAAGTAAATCGAGAATAAATGTGTAATGTGGCGTTTTGGTGTATTGTTTAGGAGACATGATGAGACGGGACAGAGCGGGGAGTTATAATATGGTTAGGGTCTAGGGTGTATGGTTGTTTAGGGGGAGGGTGGGTGGAGTGGGGGTGGTGGTGTTACATATTGGGTTTGGGTTTAGGGTGTACGGTTTATATTGATGGGTGTAGAGTTTAGTTTTTGGTGCATTTTAAAAAAATTGAATTATTATGGAAGAATATCAAAATTAAAAATTATCGATTATAAATTAATATCTACTTTTCTGAATTACATTCACAAATAGAGAAAACTAAAACAATTAAAGCAAATTCAGAATCGAAAGATAACAAAATCAATAGATTTTTAAAAGATCTCGACTATATAAAAAAAAAACTATTTCACAAATCCTTGAAAATCTAAATTATCGAATGAATTGATAGGTGAAATACAAAACATAGAGAAAGAAGAATAAAAACACGAGTAAAAGAAAAGAAGACGATGAAAAAGAAGATGGAAAATTTGGAGAAGACGAAGAAAACTAAAGCATGATGAAAAAGAAATCAAAGAAGAAAAAAGGGAATGTGAATAGAACAAGACAAAGAGAGAGAGGAGGAAAAATTGATACAAAAGAATGGAATAATACAAGAGAAGACGAATATGATAAAGATAGAGAGAGGAGGAATGGTAAGAAGAAAAACCGGAAAAATAATGTAGTGAAAATTTTGATTTTTAATTGTTGTTGTTACATGAGAATTTTAGAAACACCTTTACCATAGACAATTACATGAGCATAACAATGACATTTAATATTTTGTTCAAATCATATCGACTAAATAAAAATATTTTGTATTCTTAAAATATCATATGAAATTTTGTACAACAAGAACAATTACACCAAATTAAACAAAAAAAAAATTAATAAAAAAATGAAAAGAGTTGTCTATTATATGGTTATGGCGTACTATATGGATGGGTGGGGTGGTGTGTTTATTGTAGGGTTAGGGTTTAGAATGTAGGGTTTATACTGATGGGTGTAGGGTTTAGTTTTTT